CTGTTGTCTATTGCAACAAATTCGTGTCAATTATTGCCAAAAAGTAAAACGTAATTTAGTTTCACGCTGCGTTTGTCTTTTTACAAATATTTTATTTTTGACGTTTTTCAAATTTTCTTTGTTCATTAAAATACTAGCTTACAACCACAATTTATTCTCTCTGCAAAATCCAAAAATCGTGAAACAAAAGTGGGAAACTGCCAAATGTGATTTAAAAATTAAAAAAAATAAGGTAAAAGTTTTGTTTCGTTTTTCAGTTGCCATAATTTGTGGACGTGGATGCAACTGCAAAATTCTGCAGAATGCTAAATAACATCTTTGGCGTGCTGAACTCCAGAAATTTTTGAACCAAGAGCACTTATTTCTCTAAATCTGGTGAAATTCATAGTTTGTTCAATAGTTTTTCCGTTTCAAATTACTGCGCTATAAAATTTTCGACGTTTGTAAGGATAAAAAGAGTGTCCATTTTGTGTATTAGCGATAAGATTAAATAAATATTTGTTTTTCGCAATGTTTTTTGTGTTAAGTAGTTGCAAAACAAACATTAATAAGTAACTTTGGCGTTTGATATTTTCCTCTAGTGCAGTTTCCTCCCCCTGAAGTGGCCTCAACTGAACGCTTTTACGTTTACTGTGACGCCAAAGTGTTTCCACTATATAAACATCAACAATAAAAAAATAGCCCTAGAAAAAAATTGCAATAATAAATATACAATAACAATAACATAATATGTATTGTCAGTCTGTCATCGGAAGGCACATTTTATTCACATTTTTACATTACCTTTAGATTGATTTTAACTTTCTCAAATAAAATCTTCACTGAGCCTTTCGATTTTACTGCAATATTCTAAAACTGTTTTTCTCAAGGACAACGAAACGTTGTGTTTTTAGTTTTCCAGCAATTTTTATAACATTTTGTAACATTTATAACTCACATGGGAAAATAAATATTTTGTTCACTTGAAACGTTTTCTAGGTACATTTTTCTAACATTCAATTCGAACTGAGTCAAAACGATAAAGAAAAATTATTAAACAAACCGCTGGCTCCGACATCCCTGTCTCTTTGACTTATGAAATTCAGACCTCCGATGATTCAAAATTTGTACCTTTCGACCCATTTCTTAAAAAAAGCTCCGATATTCCAAAAAATATTAGTATTGATTATTTAAATTACCATTTGAACATGTTTGGAGTATAGGCTGGGTGGGCGGGGCTTATATTTTATTTTTTTAATATACGAAGTCTTCTTTTCACAACAAGAAACTTCAAACGTGTTCAAAATGGTAAAATTTTGTAGGAAAATATGGATTTTGTAATTACGCTTCGCCTCTCGATCTGACAACGAATGAAAAATTAATTACAATCGAGATAGGGTGGATGGGTGGGGCATATATTTTAAATATAGTTTCTTGTTGTGAAAAGAAAACTACGTATATTAAAAGAAAGGGGCAAAATATAAGCCCCACCCACCTATTTCAATCATGATGATTTCTTTTTATTCGTTGTGAGCCGGAGAGGAAAATATAAAAAAAAACAAAGATTAAGCCCCACCTGCTCATATGGAAATTTTTTGTAGAGGAATAACCATTTGCAACTAAACTCCGCCCTTCTGCTCACTATGAATAAAACATTCATCACAACTGGGAAGGGGTGGGTGGGCGGTGCTTATATTTTGTCCATTTTTTCTTAATGTACGAAGTCTTTTTTTCCCAACAAAAAACTGAAAACATGTTTAACTATCCTGTGGTTGAAAGAAAACTCTGTATATTAAAAAAAACGAAGATTAAGCCCCACCCATCCGCCCCAATCTCAATTGTGATGAATTTCATATGGAAATTTTTTGTAGAGGAATGAGGATTTGCAACTAAACTCTGCCCTTCTGCTCACTATGAATAAAACATTCATCACAATTGCGAAGGGGTGGGTGGGCGGGGCTTATATTTTGTCCATTTTTTCTTAATGTACGAAGTCTTTTTTTCCCAACAAGAAACTGAAAACATGTTTAACTATCCTGTGGTTGAAATAAAACTCCATATATTAAAAAAAAAAGATTAAGCCCCACCCGCCCTCCCCAATCTCATTGTGATGAATTTCATATGGTAATTTCTTGTAGAGGAATCAAGATTTGCAAGTAAATTCCTCCCTTCTGCTCACTATGAATAAAACATGTATCGCAATTGAGAAGGGGTGGGTGGGCGGGGCTTATATTTTGTCCATTTTTTCTTAATGTACGAAGTCTTTTTTTCCCAACAAGAAACTGAAAACATGTTTAACTATCCTGTGGTTGAAATAAAACTCTATACATTAAAAAAAAAGATTAAGCCCCACCCGCCCGCCCCAATCTCATTGTGATGAATTTCATATGGTAATTTCTTGTAGAGGAATCAAGATTTGCAAGTAAATTCCTCCCTTCTGCTCACTATGAATAAAACATGTATCGCAATTGAGAAGGGGTGGGTGGACGGGGCTTATATTTTGTCCATTTTTTCTTAAAATACGAAGTCTACTTTTCCCAAAAAGAAACTGAAAACATGTTAAACTATCCTGTGGTTGACAGAAAACTCTGTATATTATAAAAAAAAACAAAGATTAAGCCCCACATATCCGCCCCAGTCTCAATTGTGATGAATTTCATATGGTAATTTCTTGTAGAGGAATCAAGATTTGCAAGTAAATTCCGCCCTTCTGCTCACTATGAATAAAACATTTATCGCAATTGAGAAGGGGTGGGTGGGCGGGGCTTATATTTTGTCCATTTTTTCTTAATATACGAAGTCTACTTTTCCCAAAAAGAAACTGAAAACATGTTAAACTATCCTGTGGTTGACAGAAAACTTTGTATATTATAAAAAAAAACAAAGATTAAGCCCCACCCACCCGCCCCAATCTCAACTGTGATGAATTTCATATGGAAATTTTTTGTAGAGGAATCAAGATTTGCAAGTAAATTCCTCCCTTCTGCTCACTATGAATAAAACATGTATCGCAATTGAGAAGGGGTGGGTGGCCGGGGCTTATATTTTTTCCATTTTTTCTTATTGTACGAAATATTTTTTTCCCAACAAGAAACTGAAAACACATTTAACTATCCTGTGGTTGAAATAAAACTCTATACATTAAAAAAAAAAGATTAAGCCCCACCCGCCCGCCCCAATCTCATTGTGATGAATTTCATATGGTAATTTCTTGTAGAGGAATCAAGATTTGCAAGTAAATTCCGCCCTTCTGCTCACAATGAATAAAACATTTATCGCAATTGAGAAGGGGTGGGTGGGCGGGGCTTATATTTTGTCCAATTTTTCTTAATATACGAAGTCTACTTTTCCCAAAAAGAAACTGAAAACATGTTAAAATATCCCGTGGTTGAAAGAAAACTCTGTATATTATAAAAAAAAACAAAGATATTAAGATTTTATAGGAGTTTAATTGCAAAAATCCTTGTTTTTCAACAAGAAATTACCATGTGGAACATTAGTCTAAGTAATCGCGTTGTCCAAAAAAAACTATATGTATGACATAAAAAAGAATGCTACCTGTACCCGCCCCAATATCAACTGCGATGAAGTTTTCATTTGTTGTCAGACCGAGGCGTGGACCATAATTGCAAAATCCATATTTTCCTAGAAAAATTTACCATTTTGAACACGTTTGAAGTTACTTGTTGTGAAAAGAAGACTTCGTATAATAAAAAAAAGGTAAAACATAAAATTGCATGAGGAAGAAGAAAATCTACTTTTGAGAAAAACATTAAAAGAAAAGGATGCTCAATATAAAAAAATCAAGTTATGTGGAACCAAGCAATTCTTTATATTGGAAATTTTTTCCCACGTAGTTGCCACTAATTTTAAAATTTTCAAAAATTTCTTGTACATTTTTTGGTTTTCCTCTTATGTTAGAATGTTAGATCTAAGTTAAAAATCTGAATTCGGATTATCATCTACAAAAATATTCAGCCGTACGATGCTTTCTTTTGGTTAGACATTAGTAAATTTAATATTTAAAACAATTTTTGGAGGATAATTTTTTCCTCAAAAATTACGTGGTCAAAAACCATTTTCCAAAATAAGTTTCTAGACTAATTTTGCTCGGCTGAGTCCGTTTCTGCCACCTATTGTTGAAAATTTTCACTATTTTAACTCATACAAACCAAATTTTGAGTTTGAGTTGAGCGGAGAAAGTTCGGGATTTCTCGAAAATTAAAAAAATTAATAAATAAAAAAATCGGGAGCCATCCTACAATTTTTTGAGACCATAATCTTATTCAGGAGGTTCGAATTAACTAATGGAGCAATTTTTAGACAAATCGGGGTCCGTTTAAGCCAGATAGCTTGTTATGGCTTAAAACCGAAAATTTGGGCAACAGAAAATTTGTCCAAAAAAATTAAAGTTTTCCAGTCTGCCTGAAATTCCGTTTCTTGACTAATTTAGCCCCGCTGAGTCCGTTTCTGGCATCAGTTGTTGAAAATTTTCGCAATTTTAAACGAAATCCTTCTTTAATCTTTATTAAAAATTTAATTTTTTTGTTTGACGGTCCATAACTGCCGAACGGCCAAAATTGGCGTATTTGGATTTTCCTGATTTATACGAAGATGTCTAGTAAAAACAAGCGCAAATTTGTAATCTGTGACAAATATTCCACACGCTACAAAATTATATTGAAAATGAATTATTATCGTTTTCCTCATTTTCTTGGACAAGTCACCCAAGAAACAAAAAACGCAAAAGTGCATCATAAAATCATTCCCAATGGTTCTTTACTACCATAAATGCAATCTAAGTAATTCGTTTTTCCTATTTGGAATCAAAAATATTTCCCTTGCAAAACATTTTGTTTGTGAAATTTTTTTCCACCCGCGCCTAGTGACATTCCCTCTTCAGGTTGGCAACCTGTCGCGCCAATTGTTATCGCCTTTGATTTTTTGCGACTTCAATTTCACGCAAGTTTAAAACACCTCCATAGTCCCCACACTACCTCCCCTCGTAGAAACCGTCCGCAATGAGCTTCTTCTACTTCTCTGTGTGCCACGTGTGTAAAAAAGAGAGCACCACTTTGAAAAAATGCAGCAAATGCAAGCTAGTCCACTACTGCAGTCAAGAGCACCAGCGCCAGGACTGGCGGACCCACAAAGACATCTGCAAGGTGATAAGCGAAACCAACACGCCACTGACGTTCTCCGGCGAGGGCCCCATCGAGTTCGACAAGTTCAAGATCATCACTGGGGCGCTGTGGCACTTAAGGCTCGGACGACGCCTCAGCGTGAGCGAGCTTGAAATGTGGATGTTCCCGAAGGTCTGCGGCGTCTGCTACAAGGGCTCAGTGAACATGGTCTGCACCACGTGCTGGAGCGTCGCTTACTGTTCCGACACGCACCGCATAGTCCACGAGAAGCAGCACGCGGAGTTCTGCCAGAAGCTGAAGCTGTGTCTGGAGATCCACCAGAAGATGTTCAACCAAGAGCCGGAGTGGGAGCGCATGAAGTTTGATTTTAGTAAATCTGTGGTGACGCTGCCTGAGAGTATTTGCGACGTCGTGAAGATAATGGAGTTTAAGAGTGACGTCGACTTCTGGAAAAAAGCTGTGAACTTGATTCCGATGACTGAGTTTTTTTGTTCTGCAGTCAATGTAGTCTACGCTTTGGAGAAGTCAAAGTTCGTGGAGAAGCGTTTTGCCAAAAAAACTCAGTTAGTTATTCATGCTACAACGACGGAGTTTTACAAGAACATGAGCTGGCGCGTGCTCATGGAGTTTTTGTCCCACTGGATTCTTAATCTGCAAGGGGTTAGAATTTACGTCATCAGTCCTGGTGTGGACAAAGAGGAATGCTTGGAGTTTACGCTCAGTTGTGACGCCGGTAGAAAAAAGCAATTCAATTCTTCAGTCATGTTTCTTCAGCGGAAATATCACGAATTTATTAGTACAATTCCGCGTCCCGATTTGGTCGTTATGTTTAATAGATCTCTCCCGAAAGTGGGTACAGTTGAGTGGAGTGAAACCACCTCAAAGCTTCTAGCATACAAAAACGCCTTCATCATTCTCACTTCTTACACTATGGAAGGTTTGAAAAGTTCCGTCGGTAAGTTTCCTCCACCATGGGTCACGTATCTCAAACCTCAAGAAAATCTGTACGGTAGCTTGAGACCTGTCAGGAATGGCAAGGAAGGGTCTGATCCTGTTGTCTATTGCAACAAATTCGTTTCAATTATTGCCAAAAAGTAAAACGTAATTTAGTTTCACGCTGTGTTTGTCTTTTTACAAATATTTTATTTTTGACGTTTTTCAAATTTTCTTTGTTCATTAAAATACTAGCTTACTATCACAATTTATTCTCTGAAGAACATCACCTGCAAAATCCAAAAATCGTGAACCAAAAGTGGGAAACTGCCAAATGTGATTTAAAAATTAAAAAAAATAAGGTAAAAGTTTTGTTTTGTTCTTCAGTTGCCATAATTTGTGGACGTGGATGCAACTGCAAAATTCCGTAGAATGCTAAATAACATCTTTGGCGTGCTGAACTCCAGAAATTTTTTAAGCAAGGGCACTTATTTCTCGGAATCTGTTGAAATTCATAGTTTGTTCAATAGTTTTTCCGTTTCAAATTAATGTGCTATAAAATTTTCGACGTTTGTAACGATAAAAAGAGTGTCTTTTTTGTGTATTAGCGATAAGATTAAATAAATATTTGTTTCTCGTAATGTTTTTTGTGTTAATTAGTTGAAAAACAAACATTAATAAGTAACTTTGGCGTTTGATATTTTCCTGTAGTGTAGTTTCCTCCCCCTGAAGTGGCCTCAACTGAACGCTTTTACGTTTACTGTGGCGCCAAAGTGTTTCCACTATATAAACATCAACAATAAAAAAATAACCCTAGAAAAAAATTGCAGTAATAAATACATATACGATAACAATAACATAATATGTATTGTCTGTCTGTCATCGAATGGCACATTTTATTCACATTTTTACATTATTTTTAGATTGATTTTAACTTTCTCAAATAAAATCTACACTGAGCCTTTGGATTTTACTGCAATATTCTAAAACTGTTTTTCTCAAGGACAACGAAACGTTATGTTTTTAGTTTTCCAGCAATTTTTATAACATTTTGTAACATTTATAACTCACATGGGAAAATAAATATTTTGTTCACTTAAAACGTTTTCTAGGTACATTTCTAACATTCAATTCGAACTGAGTCAAAACGATAAAGAAAAATTATTAAACAAACCGCTGGCTCCGATATCCCTGTCTCTTTGACTTATGAAATTCAGACCTCCGATCATTCAAAATTTGTACCTTTCGTCCCATTTTCTGAAAAAGGCTCCGATATTCCAAAAAATATTAGTATTGATTATTCAAATTGCCATTTGAACATGTTTGGAGTATATGGTGGGTGGGCGGGGCTTATATATTTTTTTTTAAATACGAAGTCTTCTTTTCACAACAAGAAACTTCAAACGTGTCAAAATGGTAAAATTTTGTAGGAAAATATGGATTTTGTAATTACGCTTCTTCTCTCGACCTGACAACGAATGAAAAATTAATTACAATCGAGATAGGGCGGGTGGGTGGGGCATATATTTTCCTTTTTTTAATATACGTACAAGAAACTTGGTTTTAAGTATTAAAAAATACATATTTCCATCCTCCAAAAATTTACCATTTTAAATAAATTTTAAGTTTTTTCTTGTGAAAAGAAGACTGGTACGTTAAAAAGGGGCAAAATATAAGCCCCACCCACCCACCCATTTCAAGTCTGATGATTTTTTTTATTCGTTGTGAGCCGGAGGGGGGGGGGGGAGTTTAATTGCAAAAATCTTTATTTTTCTATAAGAAATTACCATGTGGAACATGTGTTTAAGCAATCACCTTGTTGAAAAAAAAACTATATGTACTACATAAAAAAGAAAGCCAAAGATTAAACGCCAGCTACACCCGCCCCGACCTCAAGTGTGATGAATTTTTCATTCGTTGTCAGACCGAGGGGCGGAGCGTAGTTGCAAAATCCATATTTTCCTACAAAAATTTAGCATTTTGAACACGATTGAAGTTACTTGTTGTGAAAAGAAGACTTCGTATATTAAAAAAAGTAAAATATAAGTCCCACCCATCCGCCTTATCTCAATTTTGATGAATTTTCCACTGATTGTTAGACCCAACGATGCAGCATAATTGCAAAATCCATATTTCCCACTAAAAATTTACCACGTTTGAAGTTTCTTGTTGTGAAAAGAAAAATCACAAGATAATTGCGTGTACAAAAATGAGAATTTTGCAATTAAGCTCGCCCCTCCATCTCACGACGAATAAAAAATATCATCACAAGCGAGATAGGGTGGGTAGGCGGGGCTTATATATATTTTTTTTGATATACGAAGTCTTCTTTTCATAACAAGAAACTTCAAACGTGTTCAAAATGGTAAAATTGTGTAGGAAAATATGGATTTTGTAACTACGGTTCGCCTCTCGATCTGACAACGAATGAAAAATTAATTACAATCGAGATAGGGCGGGTGGGTGGGGCATATATTTTCTTTTTTTTAATATACGTACAAGAAACTTGGTTTTAAGTATATATATTTTTTATATACGAAGTCTTCTTTTCATAACAAGAAACTTCAAACGTGTTCAAAATGGTAAAATTTTGTAGGAAAATATGGATTTTGTAATTACGCTTCTTCTGTCGACCTGACAACGTATGAAAAATTAATTACAATCGAGATAGGCTGGGTGGGTGGGGCATATATTTTAAATATAGTCTCTTGTTGTGAAAAGAAAACTACGTATATTAAAAAAAAGGGGCAAAATATAAGCCCCACCCACCCATTTCAATCCTGATGATTACTTTTTATTCGTTGTGGGCCGGAGAGGAAAATATAAAAAAAAACAAAGATTAAGCCCCACCTGCTCATATGGAATTTTTTTGTAGAGGAATAAGCATTTGCAACTAAACTCCGCCCTTCTGCTCACTATGAATAAAACATTCATCACAATAGCGAAGGGGTGGGTGGGCGGGGCCTATATTTTGTCCATTTTTTCTTAATGTCCGAAGTCTTTTTTTCCCAACAAGAAACTGAAAACATGTTTTACTATCCTGTTGTTGAAATAAAACTCTGTACATTAACAAAAAAAGATTAAGCCCCACCCGCCCGCCCCAATCTCATTGTGATGAATTTCATATGGTAATTTCTTGTAGAGGAATCAAGATTTGCAAGTAAATTCCGCCCTTCTGCTCACTATGAATAAAACATTTATCGCAATTGAGAAGGGGTGGGTGGGCGGGGCTTATATTTTGTCCGTTTTTTCTTAATATAGGAAGTCTACTTTTCCCAAAAAGAAACTGAAAACATGTTAAAATATCCTGTGGTTGAAAGAAAACTCTGTATGTTATAAAAAAAAACAAAGATAATAAGATTATATAGGAGTTTAATTGCAAAAATCCTTGTTTTTCAACAAGAAATTACCATGTGGAACATTAGTTTAAGTAATCGCGTTGTCCAAAAAAAACTATATGTATGACATAAAAAAAATGCTACCTGTACCCGCCCCAATATCAACTGCGATGAAGTTTTCATTTGTTGTCAGACCGAGGCGTGGACCATAATTGCAAAATCCATATTTTCCTAGAAAAATTTACCATTTTGAACACGTTTGAAGTTACTTGTTGTGAAAAGAAGACTTCGTATATTAAACAAAAGTAAAATATAAGCCCCACCCACCCATCCTGTCTCAATTGTGATGAATTTTTACTGGTTGTTAATACCAAAGGGTGGAGCGTAATTGCAAAATCCATATTTCCCTACGAAAATTTATCATTTTGAACACGTTTGAAGGTTCTTGTTGTGAAAAAAAGACTTCCTATAATAAAAAAAAGTAAAATATAAAATTGCATGAGGTAGAAAAAAATCTACTTTTGAAAAAAACATTAAAAGACGATGCTCAATATAATAAATCAAGTTCTATGGAACAAAGCAATTCTTTATATCCGAAATTTTTTCCCACGTAGTTGCCACTAATTTTAAAATTTTCAAAAATTTCTTGAAAATATATTATTTTTTGGTTTTCCTCGTATGTTAGATGTTAGATCTAAGTTAAAAATCTGAGTTCGGATTTATCATCTACAGAAATATTCAGCCGTACGATGCTTTCTTTTGGTTGGACATTAGTAAATTTAATATTTAAAAAAATTTTTGAAGGATAATTTTTTCCTCAAAAATTGCGTGGTCAAAAACCATTTTCCAAAATCAGTTTCTAGACTAATTTTGCTCAGCTGAGTCCGTTTCTGCCACCTATTGTTGAAAATTTTCACTATTTTAACTCATACAAACCAAATTTTGAGTTTGAGTTGAGCGGAGAAAGTTCGGGATTTCTCGAAAATGAAAAAAATAAATAAATAAAAAAATCCGGAGCCATCCTACAATTTTTTGAGACCATAATCTTATTCAGGAGGTTCGAATTAACTAATGGAGCAATTTTCAGACAAATCGGGGTCCGTTTAAGCGAGATAGCTTGTTATGGCTTAAAACCGAAAATTTGGGCAACAGAAAATTTGTCCAAAAAAATTAAAGTTTTCCAGTCTGCCTGAAATTCCGTTTCTTAACTAATTTAGCCCCGCTAAGTCCGTTTCTGGCATCAGTTGTTGAAAATGTTCGCAATTTTAAACGAAATCCCAAAAATTGGCGTATTTGGATTTTCCTGATTTATACGTAGATGTCTAGTAAAAACAAGCGCAAATTTGTAATCTGTGACAAATATTCCACACGCTACAAAATTATATTGAAAATGAATTATTTTCGTTTTCGTCATTTTCTTGGACAAGTCACCCAACAAAAAAAAAACGCAAAAGTGCATCATAAAATCATTCCCAATGTTTCTTTACTACCATAAATGAGATCTAAGTCATTTAAAAATATTTCCCATGGAAAAACGTTAATTTTGTTTGTGAAAATTTTTCCCACCCGCGCCTAGTGACATTCCCTCTTCACGTTGGCAACCTGTCGCGCCAAATCTTATCGCCACTGCCTCCTTTGATTTTTTGCGACTTCAATTTCACGCAAGTTTAAAACACCTCCAGAGCCCCCCACACCAACTCCCCTCGTACAAACCGTCCGCCATGAGCTTCTTCTACTTCGCCGTGTGCCACGTGTGCAAAAACGAGGGCCCCACTTTGAAAAAATGCGGCAAATGCAAGCTAGTCCACTACTGCAATCAAGAGCACCAGCGCCAGGACTGGCGGACCCACAAAGACATCTGCAGGGTGATAACCGAGACCAACACGCTGCTAGAGTTCTCCGGCGAGGGCCCCATCGAGTTCAACAAGTTCAAGATCATCACAGCGGTTCTGTGGCACTTCGAGCTCGGACGAGACCTCAGCGTGAGCGAGCACGAAATGTGGATGTTCCCCAAAGTCTGCGCCGTCTGCTACAAGACTGCGGTGAACATCGTGTGCACCACGTGCTGGAGCGTCGCTTACTGCAACAACAAGCACCGCATGCTCCATGAGAAGCAGCACAAGGAGTTCTGCCAGAAGCTGAAGCTGTGTCTGGAGATCCACCAGAATATGTTCAACGAAGAGCCGGAGTGGGAGCGCATGAGTTTTGATTTTAGCAGCTCTGTGCTGAAGCTGCCTGATAATATTTGCGACGTCGTGAAGATAATCAAGTTTAAGAGCAACATCGACTATTGGAGAAAAGCGATGAACTTGATTCTGATGACGGAGTTTTTTTGTTCTGCGGTCAATGTAGTTTACGCTTTGGAGATGTGTAAGTTCGTGGAGAAGCGTCTGGGTAAAAAAAATAAGATTGTTATTCATACTACGACGATGGAGATTTGCGAGAACATGAGCTGGGGGGTGCTCATGGAGTTTTTGGCCCATTGGATTTATAATCTGAAAGGAGTTAAAATTTACGTGATTAGTCCTAATTTGAATGAAGAGCACCGCTTGTCGTTTACGCTCAATTGTGACGCCTGTAGGAAAAAGCGATTCAATTCTTCGGTGGTATTTCTTAAGGGGCAATATCACGAATTTACTGGTACAATTCCGCGTCCCGATTTGGTCGTTATGTTTAATGCAGCTCTCCCGGATGTGGGTACAGTTGAGTGGAGCGAAACCGTCCCTAAGTTTTTAGCATACAAAAATGTCCCCATCCTTCTCACTTCTTATACTATGGAAGAGTTGAAAAAGTCCATCAGTAAATTCCCTTCACCATGGATCAAGTCCTATCTCAAACCTCAACAAAATCTGTATGGTAGCTTGAGACCAGTCAGGAATTCTGAGGAAGGGTTTGATCCTGTTGTCTACCGCAACAGTTTCATGTCAATTATTGCAAAAAGTAAAACATAATTTAGGTTCACGTTCGTTTGTCTTATTGCATATATTTTATTTTTATTTTTCAAGTTTTCTTTGTTCATTAAAATACTACATTACTACCACAATTTATTCTCTTTCATATAAATTTTGATACCTTAATTTAGTCTGGAGTTCGTCATCTTGGTCTACTGTGAGAGTCTGTGGTGGAATTAGCGCCCCCGCGATATTCCTTCCTTCCGAACTGAGAAAATTAAAAGTGGCGCAAGCCTGCTCAGTTGGGAGTACTTCAAACGCGATTCTATATTTACGAGAAAAAGGAATAATTTTTCTATAAAAACTCAAGTCTTGTTGTGGGTCACCAGTTCCTACTACCAGTATATCTAATTTGGGTTCTAAAATTGTCAACAAACTAAGGGATTCTTCTGTGATTTCATCACAGTTGGTAACTGACCACGATAAGACTGACCTGAAACGAGGAATTACTCTTATGGTACTTACAACTACGAAATTACCTTGGGAATATCACCATTGAACCTAACACTGTCAAGTCATTGTTTAACCGAAACCCCACCTAGAAAGGGCTCAATATTATTGTGTCGTTACATTTGATAGGGTTTACTTGACTGAATCCGTTGATCATTAATCCCAGTTCGGTTTCATTGTTTAAAATATTCACAGTCGTTTTTCCCTCTGCGTCATAGGCACCGGGTGAACATAACCTCTTGTTTGCATGCACAAGTCGCCTGGAATTTTTTCAGTAAGAAAGAGGAAGAGCATTTGCCACTTAATTAACTTATTAAGGTGAGTTTTACTGGTGTTTATTAAATTTAAAGTGTGTCGTAACATTTTATGCAAAAGTAGGGTTATGTGACAATTATCAAGTTTGTTATTTTAAATTGACAAGTGACAGATCTCAAAGCCATTCGGAACGGTTTCAAATAGTTTGGAAATTTTGGGGATTTTTTTGAACATTTTTCCCGCAGTTCTCAGTTATTTGGAGACAAATTGTCAAAAATATTTTAGATTCGTAATCCGCGAAAAATTATCTACATCTATTATAAGCCAACTATTTTCCGTTGAGTCAGATCGTCTTTTAACTGTTTCAGACAAAAAAATTTTGGAAATTACGAAAAATGTTTCCCACTTTTCTCGCTAATGTTCGGAAATAGTTGAAACATTGTCGGAAATTCAAAAGTGTGAAAATTGGTATTATCTTATCAAAAACTAGCCCCGCCCACCCACCCTCTATTTTCTTGGAAGGTATGTGATTTGCCGAAATCAGTCTTATCTTAGCAACCACTAGCCCCACCCACCCGCCCTCTGTTTTTTTGGAAGGTATATGATATGCCAAAATCAGTTTTATCTTAGCAAGTACTATTTAATTATTATTTAATAATTTATTTAGTTATTTCAATATAGAATATAGTACTTAAAATAAGACTGAAATTGGCAAATCACATACCTTCCAAGAAAATAGAGGGCGGGTGGGCGGGGCTAGTATTTGCTGAGGTAAGACGGATTTTGGCAAATCACATATCTTGTAAGAAAATAGAAGGTGGGTGGGCGGGGCTAGGATTTCATAAGATAAATTTGCGATTAATACCCGATAAAACTAGAAACTCAACGTTTTCCTCTCAAAGCCATTTGGAACGGTTTCAAATTTTTTGGAAATTTTGGGTTTTTTTTTTTGAACATTTTTCCCGCAGTTCTACAGTTATTTGAAGACAAAATCGTCTTTTAAGTGTTTCAAACAAAAAAATTTTGGAAATTACGAAAAATGTTTCTCACTTTTCTCGCTAATTTTCGGAAATAGTTGAAAAATAGTCGGAAATATCAAAAGTGCGAAAATTAGTATTATCTTATCAAATATTAGCCCCGCCCACCTACCCTCTATTTTCTTGGAACGTATGTGATTTGCCAAAATCAGCCCTATCTTAGCAGGTACTAGCCCCGCCCACCTGCCCTCTGTTTTCTGGGAAGGTATTTGATATGCCAAAATCGGTTTTATCTTTTTTTAGCAAGTACTATTTAATTATTATTTAATAATTTATTTGGCCATTTCAATATAGAATATAGTACTTAAGATAAAACTGAAATTGGCAAATCACATACCTTCCCAGAAAATAGAGGGCGGGTGGGCGGGGCTAGTATTTGCTGAGGTAAGAAGGATTGTGGCAAATCACATTTCTTGTAAGAAAATGAGGGTGGGTGGGCGGGGCTAAGATTTCATAAGATAAATTTGCGATTAATACCCTATAAAACAAGAAACTCAACGTTTTCCTCTCAAAGCCATTCGAAACGGTTTCAAATTTTTTGGAAATTTTGTGGATTTTTTTGAACATTTTCCCCGCAGTTCTCAGTTATTTGAAGACAAATTGTCAAAAATATTTTAGATTCGTTATCCACGAAAAATTATTTATAAGCCGACTATTTTCCGTTGAAACAGATCGTCTTTTAACTGTTTCAAACAAAAAAATTTTGGAAAATACGAAAAATGTTTCTCACTTTTCTCGCTAATTTTCGGAAATAGTTGGAACATGGTCGGAAATTCAAAAGTACGAAAATTAGTATTATTTTATCAAATATCATACCCGCCCACCCGCCCTCTGTTTTCTTGGAAGATATGTGATATGCCAAAATCAGTTTTATCTTAGCAAGTACTATTTAATTATTATTTAATAATTTTTTTAGCCATTTCAATATAGAATATAGTACTTAAGATAAGACTGAAATTGGCAAATCACATACTTTCCAAGAAAGTAGAGGGCGGGTGGGCGGGGCTAGTATTTGCTGAGGTAAGACGGATTTTGGCAAATCACATTTCTTGTAAGAAAATGAGGGTGGGTGGGCGGAGCTAGGATTTCATAAGATAAATTTGCGATTAATACCCAATTAAACTAGAAACCAACGTTGTCCGCTGAAAGCCATTTGGAACGATTTAAAATTTTTTGGAAATTTTGGGAATTGTTTTTGAACATTTTCCCCGCAGTTCTTAGTTATTTGAAGACAAATTGTCAAAAATATTTTAGATTCATAATACGCGCAAAATTATCTATAAGCCAACTATTTTCCGCTGAGTCAGATCGTCTTTTAACTGTTTCAAACAAAAAAAAATTTGGAAATTACGAAAAATATTTCTCACTTTTATCGCTAATTTTCGTGAATAGTTGAAAAATAGTCGGAAATGTCAAAAGTACGAAAATTAGTATCATCTTATCAAATACTAGGTGCGCATGCGCTTGATTTGAAAGTTGATTTTTAAAAACAATTAAGTCAATGCTTTTAAAAAGTGTCGACGTATATGATAGTTTCTACGTTTGTTCCAATCAACATTAGTCACTTTTTGGTAATTTATTAGTTTGCATGAAGAACTTTTTCAAATTTTAATAGCGCCATCTGTTACAAAAACTGTCAATTTCATCTGTCAAATTCCGAAAAGTCAAAACAATGTCAAAATGGCACCAACAATTTGAAAGATCTGTGCCTCCATTTATGTTATTTTTATCAATTTATCGTCATTATTCGTAGCAGTTTTACCATGAGTGGAAGGCAGAGCTGCTACGCCGCTTTTTTTTCGGAGTTCTCGGCGGTAAGTATATGTATCATATTGTTTGGTTATAAAAGGGGGCCCCCAAATACCGACACAACCATTTCACCACGTACCCCATTTTGTTAATTAACAATACTCATTGGAATATTTCTTGTCTCGCAACAACTTGAAGAGAGCCGAGAACAAGATTTTGAGTTTTTCTGAAAAAGCGCGTAAGGCTGGAGCCGAATGGCGGTCCATGGACGTAACGGAAAAACAAGTGAGTTTTCACCATCAGTGCGACTTTTACTCATTGCCGTGCTTGCAGAAGTACAAATCGCCGCCCTTTGCAGACACCACAGACTTCGTACACTTACTCCCGAAGGACGAGAGTCTGGAGCTCGTCAAACTGGTATGAAAGTCACTGAATGACGTCAGCCTTTGTTTAAGTAAATAAAAGTTGATGTCATTTGCTGTGAAACTGAGAGTGATTTTTTGTTTCCAAGCAGCTGGTTTGCGCGAACTGCGGACGCACCTTTAAGGAGTCGTTTCGTCTCAGGTACCATTTGAGCAAGTGCGGTGAAGTTAAGTGCGACCTCTGTGATAAAATTCTTAAAAATGAAGACACCCTTAAAAAACACGTGCGGTTTGTGCACTCCAAGGAGAAGTTGTTTAATTGCCCCACGTGCGAGAAGGGGTTTTCGTGTAGGGCTGACTTAAGGGCGCACTATAATATACATAGGGGGGTGAGGTTCACTTGTGATACTTGTAATCAGACGTTTTCAAATACTTCCAACTTGGCAAGGCATTGTAAGAAGTATGTACATTAGTGTAAATAAATCTAGTAACGACGAACTGCGCCATTTTTGTGTCTAATGTAAGATGTAGAGTGAAAAGCGCCGCTAAAATATACTAAAAATTTATGTACTTACATCATACATTAAAAAATAATACAAGCTCTACTACTTAAGACAGACCTGTTTATCCTAATATACATAACAGCTTATTCTTCATCCTATAATTCCTCAAAAAAGAAAAAACGTCATTCTCTCCCCACTCACTCCCACCTTGTGATGCTAAAATTTCCACCCCTCAAACAATCAACAACTTAAGTAACGCCCCTCAAACCCCCATCTCGTAATACTATGACGCATGCGTCTTCATATGCGTCGATAGAGGTCCAGTTTGTGAAAAAGCCTTATTACAAATATTGCAACTGTACGGTTTTTCACCGGTATGAATCCTGAGATGCACTTTCAGCGTCGACGCTTGATAGAAGCCCTTTTTGCAAATCGTGCAAATGTGGTTTCTATCACCCGTGTGAGTTTTTATGTGAATCCTGAGATCTTCGCTTCGCGGGAAAGCTTTCGGGCACAAGTTGCACTGGTACGGTTTTTCCCCCGTGTGGATGCGTCGGTGTTTCTTCAGTTGCGAAGAACTGACGCAGCCCCGGCCGCAGTCGTTGCATACGTAGGGTTTTTCCCCGCTATGAGATCGCGCGTGAACTGTGAGACGGGAGGGGTCGGGGAAGCCTTTGCCGCACTCGTTGCAGACGTAGGGGCGTTCACCTGTAATGCGACTAATTAAACACGAAGGATCTGGGGGGGCTACAACCTGTGTGGGTCCGTTTGTGGATGATTAGGTTGCTGGGGGTCGTGAAACCTTTCCCGCAGTAGGGACAGATGTGGTCTTTGACGCCCGTGTGGGTTTTCATGTGCATTGCGAGCGACCCCGAGCCGCACAACCTGCGAAAATATGCAACCAGTATTACTTAGAGTATCTATTAAATAATATTTTGGCGTTGCTTGTCAAACTTTGAACAGCCAAATTCAACTTGTTTTAAGTGGGATTTATAAATTTGCTGTTGACGTTGAAGTTCCCGCTGATGTTGCTTTTAGAGCTGAAAATTATCATTATAACCTCCGTTGTCAAGTGACCGTCGATAGCAACTTTGATGTTCAACTTTTGCCATATTTAAAGGAGTTATAGTTAAGTTTCTTGTTGTCGAAATAAGTCTACACATATTCAGAAAAAAACGGCAAAGTGGAGCCCCGCCCACCCACCCTATCTCAATTGTGATGATTTTTTTTATTCGTCGTGAGCCAATGGGGGCGGAGCTTAACTGCAAAATACTTATTTCTTTACGAAGTATTCTTTGAAAAACACGATACTCAAAAACATGCTTTTAATTTCTTGTAAAGAAATACGTATTTTGCAGTTAAGCTCCGCCCCCTTGGTTCACGGCGAATAAAAAAAAAATCATCACAATTGAGACTGGGCGGGTGGGCGGGCTAACATTTTGCCTCTTTGTTTTAATATGTGCAGACTTCTTTTCACAACATGGAACTTAAAACATGTTTAAAATGGAAAATTTGTTGGGAAAAAAAATAGACCTAGTACGATTTCTAAAGTTTTGTGAGCTAAAAATAGTGGTGACAACCCCGTTCCAAAATTTCCATAAATAACTGAAATATTGATTTTTTAAAATACGTGATGCAAAAATTTCAACAAAATTAAAAAAATATATGATAATAAATTGTTTAAAAAAAACTGTTCTCCTAGTTATGTAGTGAAAGTTGTAGACAAGTTACATTTAAAATTTCATAATCGTAGGTGTGTTAATAATGGAAATATTACATTCTGAAAACACCATAAGACCCAAACGTAGCGACTCCTCTTAAGCAAAAGGAAGGGAAAATATAAGCCCCGCCCACCCGCCCTGTCTCAATTCTGATGATTTTTTTTATTCGTCGTAAGCCGAGGGGCGGAGCTTAATTGTAAAATCCTTATTTTTCTACGAGAAATTACCATGTGAGACATGTTTTTGAGTAAATATCGTGTTCAAAGAAAAAAATGAAGCCAAGAATTAAGCCTCACCCATATCCATCCTAAGCTCAATTGTGATGAATTTTTCATTCGTTCTCAGACCGAGGGCGGAGCTTAATTGCAAAATCCATATTTCCTTACAAAAAATTTCCATTTTAAACATGTTTTAAGTTTCTAAGAATTAAAAAAATCATAACAATTGAGACCGGGTGGGTGGGTGGGGTTTAAATTTTAGCTTTTTTTCTTAATATACATAGTAATAACAATACTCAAAATACATGCTTTTAATTTCTTGTAAAGAAATAAGTATTTTACAGTTAAGCTCCGCCCCCGTGGTTCACGCCGAATAAAAAAAATCATCACAATTGAGATAGGGCGGGTGGGCGGGCTTACATTTTGCCTTTTTGTTTTAATGTGTGCAGATTTCTTTATACACCATGAAACTGATTTTGCAATTAGGCTCCGCCCCATAATTGCAAAATCTATATTTCCTTGCAACCATTTTAACCATGTTTTAAGTTTGTTGTTGTGAAAAGGTGGCTATGTATATTAAGAAAAGAAACGGAAAAATATAAGCCCCGCCCACCCGCCCTGTCTCAATTCTGATGATTTTTTTTTATTCGTCGTAAGCCGAGGGCAGAGCTTTTATATTTGGCTTTTTTTCTTAATATACATACAATTCTTTGAATAACTCGATACTCAAAAACATGTTTTTAATTTCTTGTAAAGAAATAGGGATTTTGTAGTTAAGATCCGCCCCCTTGATTCACAGCGAATAAAAAAATCATCACAATTGAGACAGGGCGGGTGGGCGGGCTTACATTTTGTCTTTTTGTTTTAATATGTGTGTAGTCTTATTTTCACACCATGAAATTTAAAACATGTTTAAAATGGAAAATTTGTGTAATTCAATTAGGCTTTGTCCCATAATTGCAAAATCATTATTTCCTTGCAACAATGTAACCACGCCCACCCACCCTATCTCAATTTTGATTATTCTTTTTTATTCGTTGTAATCCGAGGGACGAAGTTTTTGTAAAATCCTACGAGAAATTCTTGTTGTCAAAATAAGTCTACACATATTAAGAAAAACAAAGGCAAAATGGAGCCCCGCCCACCCACCCTGTTTCAATTGTGATGATTTTTTTTATTCGTCGTGAGCTAAGAGGGTGGAGCTTAACTGCAAAATCCTTCTTTCTCGACGAAGTATTCTTTGAACAACACGATACTCAAAAACATGTTTTTAATTTCTTGTAAAGGAATAAGTATTTTGCAGTGAGGCTCCGCCCTCTTGGTTCGCGGCGAATAAAAAAATCATCAGAATTAAGAACGGGCGGGTGGGCGGGTTTACATTTTGCCTTTGTATTTTAATATGTGTGGACTTCTTTTCACAATATGAAACTTAAAACATGTTTAAAATCGAAAATTTTTATGTATAAGGAAATATCGATTTTGCAATTAGTCCCTAAAAATAAAGTCAAAAAAAGACCTAGTAGGATTTCTAAAGTTTTGTAAGCTGAAAACAGTGGTGACAACTCCGTTCCAAAATTTCCATAAATAACTGAAATATTGATTTTTTAAAATACGTGATACAAAAATTTTAACAAAATTAAAAAAATATATGATAATAAATTGTTTAAAAAAACTGACCTCCTAGTTATGTAGTGAAAGTTGTAGACAAGTTACATTTAAAATTTCATAACTGTAGGTGTGTTAATAATGGAGATATTACATTCTGAAAACACCATAAGACCCAAACGTAGCGACTCCTCTTAAGAAAAAGGAAGGGAAAATATAAGCCCCGCCCACCCGCCCTATCTCAATTCGGATGATTTTTTTTTATTCGCCGTAAGCCGAGGGGCGGAGCTTAATTGTAAAATACTTATTTTTCTACGAGAAATTACCATGTGAAATTAAGTAATTGTGTTATATAAAGAAATAGAAATGTATTAATTAAAAAAGAAAACTAAGCTCCACCTATTCGTCTCGATCTGAATCGTGATGAATTTTTCATTCGTTGTCAGACTGAGGGGCGGAGCGTAGTTGCCAAATCGATATTTCCCTATACAAATTTACCATTTTAAACATGGTTTAAGTTTCTAAGAATAAAAAAAAATCACAAATGAGATGGGGTGGGTGGGCGGGGTTTATATTTTGGCTGTTTTTCTCAATATATGTACATAGTATTCTTTGAACAACCCGATACTCAAAAACATGTTTTAAATGGTCTTGTAAAGAAATAAGTATTTTGCAGTTTAGCTCCGCCCCCTGGATTCACGCTGAATAAAAAAAAAACATCACAGTTGAGATAGGGCGGGTGGGCGGGGTTACATTTTGCCTTTTTGTTTTAATATGTGTGCAGATTTCTTTTCACAACATGAAACTGATTTTGCAATTAGGCTCCGCTCCATAATTGAAAAATCCATATTTCCTTGCAACCATTTCAACCATGTTTTAAGTTTGTTGTTGTGAAAAGATGGCTATGTATATTAAGAAAAGAAAAGGCAAAATATAAGCCCCGCCCACCCGCCCTGTCTCAATTCTGATGATTTTTTTTTTCGTCGTAAGCCGAGGGGCAGAGCTTAATTGTAAAATTCGTATTTTTCTATGAGAAATTACAATGTGTTTGTTCTTAAGTAATCGTGTTAGACAAAGAAAACTAATTATTATGAATTACAAAAGAAAACCAGAAGAGAAGCCCCACCCATCTGTCTCGATCTCAATCGTGATGAATTTTTCATTCGTTGTCAGACCGAGGGGCGGAGCGTAATTGCAAAATCGATATTTCCCTATACAAGTTTACCATTTTAAACATGTTTTAAGTTTCTTGTTGTGAAAAGATGACTGCACATATTAAGACAAAAAGGGAAAATATTAGCCCCGCCCACCCGCCCTATCTCACTTGTGATGATTTTTTCATTTGTTGTCAGACCGAGGGGCGGAGTTTATTTGCAAAATCGATACCTTCCTACAAAAATTTACCATTTTAGAAATGTTTTACCTATTCTTGTTGTGAAAAGAAGACTACACATATTAAGAAAAAAGGGCAAAATGTAAGCCCTTGTATATAGTTATAATACCTAATCTGTTTTTGAGACGAATAGCTATAAATCTTGTTGATTTAAATGTCGAGAACTATCTTTAACAATGCATAAGTACTGACAGACAGCTATAGTGTGTATCTCTATCAAAATTTGATTTTCGTGGAATTAGTGGTATCAACCAGAAAAATGTCCCCTACTTTAGGGGATTTTCCTTCATGTTGGCAGCACTGCACACCACCGCAATTTGATTGGTTGAAAACCCAACGTCAACGGCAACGTAACGGCGAACAGCAACGACAGCGACAAGTTTATAAATCGACGCAACTCGAAATCACTGGTAATTTAAAAAAACGAACCACTTAGCTCCACATCCAAAACATAACCTCATTTTTTGTAAATTTTCAAAATTGACAAAACCATGGCTTTTTCGATAAAAAAAAATTAACTTTGACCCTATTTCGTTAAAGAAAATGCAGCAGGGAGCACTAGTTAAAATATCTACCAATGAATTTTTGAGGTTAGTGGACTCAATCAAAGATTTACCCAGGACACCAGATTTTAGTTGGCCATGATGCAGGAAAATTGAACAGTGGTGCCAACTCGTAAGTCGCAAATCAAAAACCCCTACTCTAAAAATACAAAGTTACCTCTTCCCACACACTCCACAAGCGTGGCTTTTGATGCCGCTGTGCGTTTTGTTGTGAGCCGCCAGGCTCGTATACCGTGAAAACGCCTTCCCACACACCGAACAAATAAAACTTTTTTCGTTGGCGTGGGCTCTCATGTGCTCTAATAAACGGAACGACTGCGCAAAAGATTTCCCACATAATTTACAAGGAAAGGGTTTTTCGCCAGTGTGCGTCCGTATATGTCGTGTGAGATCATCCGACCTTGCAAACCCTTTACCACACTCGCTACACAAATGTCTTTTGGCACCATCGTGAACCTGAAATTCGTATTCTATAATTTGGCATTCGCTCGAAAAAAGTACCTTCATGTGTCGACACAGCGTGCTGGCACTGGCAAATCCCTGATTACAGATTTTACAAATGTGTCTGCTCATTTTGGGGTGCGTTTTGGCGTGTGCCTGAAATTTGGCGTGATTATTTCCCTTAAAACCGATTCTGTGTACCTTTAAGTCAACCATGGTGGTGAAACACTGTGTACACTCTTCACAAGGGTAAATGGGCTGGTCTGTGTCATCTTTGATTTTCTTTTTCTTCGGAGATTTCTTTTGTTCGTTTAGTTTAATCTCTCCGTCGCTGCCGCAGGATTCGATTCCACCAACTACGACCAAATCACAATTATCGTTACAAAAAACAACCAGTTGAGCGCTTACGCCCCAAGACGTCGTTCTCCGCGAACTCTAGCTTCATCTTCAAGTCCGGCGCCTCGTCCGACTTGAACGAATTATTAATGTGAATACTATTTACACTGATAGAGTCCACAGCACTGTTCAAGACCTCCGAAACTGAAGCCGATACTGCGTGCATGTTCTCGGTGACCGTGTTCATGACGTCGCTGAAAGTTTGATCGTGCGTGTCTGCACTCAGCAGCGGCTTCAGTTCCATTAAGGTGGTCTGCATGGGTTTCCCCAGTAGCTGCCGTAAAGTAGCATCTGATCTCTCACACAACTGTTTGAACGAGAAAGCACGGGTTATGTAATGAACACATTGTAAACACACTTGGCTCGGCAAGCCGTCGTTCTCCAGAACCTGCAAACAGACCCCGTCGAAGCCCCAAATTCAAAAAATGCCAGCCGATTTACCTGTACGGCAGCACACGACATAAGCATTTCAAACAGGCGCATTGTTTCGCCGATGGACTCGTCGATGCTGAAGACGGATCGCATGTCACCTTCCTCTGAAAGACACGTGCGGCAGATTTTTTCTATGTGGAGGGTTTCGAAGGACATTTTAGAGGGGTTTGTTTATTAGTGATTTAGGTTATTATTGTGACAGACGGACATTTTGTGTACAGCATAAGCTAAATGGAGAGGAGGTAGGCAACCATTTATACAGTTTATTGAATGAAGATACATTTTTTTGGTTTTTTAGAAAAGTATAAAAAAATATAAATTAAATGTGGCTGGGGGTGGCTAAATTACGCACTCTGATGTTGTTGAGCCTGGGCGCACTAAGGGACCGAACTGGAGGAACATTAGTTCGAATGTGACAATGGTTGAGGCCATCTGCAACGAAGAATATTTTTTGTTTTTTAAATAATTTAAAATAAGTTGAACATAAATTTAACCATTAAGTACTGGCCAGGTCAACTTAAGTCAACTTGCGGTAGGGTCAAATCATGACAAGTCAGGCCAAGTCAGATCAGATCAAGGTCAAGTCAGGTTCATGGGGGTTTTTGAATTAAAACAAAGATTAATTCAGGTCAGGTCAAGTCAGAGGGAGGGGCTTTTGAAGGTTTCCCCATCCAAATAAAAAAAACTTCAGGTCAATTTTGGAGGGGCTTTCGAAGATTTTTCCTTCCAATTAAAAAGAACATCAAGTCAGGTCAGATTCGAGGCTTTTGAAGGTTTTCCCAACCAAAAAAAAGGTCAACTCAGGTCAGATCAGGTCAGGTAAGGTAAGTTCAGATCCGGGGGGCTTTTGAAGGTTTTCCCACCTAATAAAGAAAGTCAGATTAAGTCAGGGGTTTTTCGAAGATTTTTCCGCCTGATTAAAAAAATGAAGTCAGGTTAGCTCAGATCAATTAAAAAAACTCTCAGGTCAGGTCGGGTTAGGTCCGTGGGGACTTTTGAAGGTTTCCCCACTAAACATAAAAAAGGTCAGGTCAAAGGCTTTTCGAAGATTTTTCCGCCCCATTAAAAAAGTCAAGTCAGGCCAATTAAAAAAAACTGTCAGATCCGGATCGGGCTTTTAAAGGTTTTCTCAAACATTTAGAAAAAAGGTCATGTGAGGTTCGGAGAGCGTTTGAACATTTTTCCCTCCCAATTAAAAAAAAATAGTAAGTTAGGTCAGGCTGGGGCTGGGGGCCTTTTTTAAGGTTTTCTCCTCATACGAAGAGATTAAGCCAAGTCAGGTCCGGGGTGCTTTTGAAGGTTTCCCTATCCAATAAAAAAGACAGGTCAGGTTCTCGGGGCTTTTGAAGGTTTTTCCAACTAAAAAAAGGTCAAGTCAAGTAAGATCAAGTCAGGTCAGGTTTGAAGGTTTCCCCACCCAATTAAAAAAAATGTCAAGTCAGTTTGGGGGACCTTTTGAAGTTTTTTTTCTTCCAATTAAAAAGACCATCGAGTCAAATCAGGCTTGGGGCTTTTGAAAATTTCCCCAAGGAAAAAAAGTCAGGTCAGGTCAGATAAGAAAAGTTCAGATTAGGGGGGTCTTTTGAAGGTTTTCCGTACCAAATATAAACAAGGTCAGGTCAGGTCAGAGGCCTTTTGAAGATTTTTCCGCTCAATTAAAAAACGATAAAGTCCGGTCAGGTCAATTAAAAAACTGTCAGGTCAGGTTGGGTTAGGTCTGGGTGGGGCTTTTGAAGGTTTTCCCAACCATTTAGCAAAAAGGTCATGTCAGGTCTGGGGACCTTTTGAAGATTTTTCAATCCCAATTAAAAAAAGATCAAGTCAGGTCAGGCTTGGGGATTTTGAAGGTTTTTCCAATCAAAAACGGTCTGGTCAAGACATGTAAGGTAAGGTTAGATCTGGGACCCTTTGAAGGTTTTTCCAACCAAAAAGAGGTCAAGTCAGGTCAGATAGAAGATTGTTCCCTGCTAATTCAAAAAAAGATCAAGTCAGGTAAGGTCCGATTTAGGGATCTCCTCGAGATTTCCCCACCCAATCAAAAAAAGGTCAGGTCATGTTCGGGGGTCTTTTGAAGATTTTCCCTTCCAATTAAAAAAGAAAATCAGGTCAGGTCAGGTCCGGGGCCTTTTGAAGGTTTTTTCCAACCAAAAAAAATTTCAAGTCAGGTCAAATCAGGCCAGATCCAGGGAACCTTTTGAAGATTTTCCCACTCAATAATAAAAAAGTCAGGTCAGGTTCGGGGAGCCTTTTGAAGGCTTTCCGGTTCAATTAAAAAAGGTTAGGTCATGTTCGGGGGCCTTCAGAAAAGGCCAAAATCAGGTCAAGTACGGGTCCTTTTGAAGGTTTTCCCAACTAAATAAAAAGGTCAGGCCAGATCAGTTAAGATCAGATCCGGGAGGCCTTTTGAAGGTTTCCCCACCCAATAAAAAGAGGTCAAATTCTGGGGAGTTTTTGAAGTTTTGGCCACCCAAAAAAAAAATCAAGTCAGGTCCGGTCAGGAGGATCTTTTGAATAATAAATAATAAAAAATGGTTAGCTCCGGGGCATTTGGAAGATTTTTCCCAATCAAAAAAGAAGGTTAAATCAGGTCAGGTAAAGTCAGATCCTTTTGGAGGTTTCCTCATCCAAGAAAAAAAGGTCAAGTTAGGTTAGCGGGGCCTTTTTAAGATTTTCTCTTCACTTAAAAAAGAGATTAGGTCACGTCAGGTCCGGGGGGCTTTTGAAGGTTTCTTTATCCAATAAAAAGACAGGTAAGGTTCTGGGGCCTTTTGAAGACTTTCCCACTCAATTAAAAGAAAACGTCAAGTCAGGTTAGGTGCGAAACATTTTGAAGGTTTTTCCTACAAAAAAGGCCAACTCAGGTCAGGTTCGGGGAGTCTTTTAAATATTTTTCCCTCCCACTTAAAAAAACAATTCCCCATCCAATTAAAAGAAAGGTCAGGTCACGTTCGGAGGCCTTTTGAAGATTTCCCCTTCCAATTAAAAAAGAAGGTAAAGTCAGGTCAGGTCCGGGGACATTTAAAGGTTTTTCCCAACCAAAAAAATGTCAAGTCAGATCCAGGGGCCTTTTGAAGATTTTCCAGCCGAATTAAAAAAAAGATCAGTTCAGTTCAGGTCAGCTCGGGAGGTTTAAAGGTTTCCCCACTCAATTAAAAAAAGGTTAGGTCAGGTTCGAGAACCTTTTGAAGATTTTCCCGCCTAGTTAAAAAAAAAGATCGAGTTAAGTCGGGTCCGGAGGACCTTTTGAAAGTTTGCCCACCTAATTAAAAAAAAGGTCGGGTCAGTTCGGGAAGCCTTTTGAAGATTTTCCCTTCCAATTAAAAAAGAAGATTCAAGTCAGGTCAGGTCCGGGGTTTTTTCAAGATTTCCCGATTCAATAATAAAATAAGGTCAGGTCAGGTTCGGAAGCGTTTTGAAGATTTTCTCTTCCAATTAAAAAAGAAGATCAAGTTCGGTCAGGCCCGGCGCCTTTTGAAGGTTTTTCCTAACCAAAAAATGTTAAGTCAGGTGAGATAAGGTTAGATTCAGGTCAACTCAGGTCCGGGGCCTTTTGAAGGTTTTTCCCAATCAAAAAATGTCAAGTCAGGTAAGATAAAATCAGATCCGGGAAGCCTTTTGAAGATTTCCCCACTCAATAATAAAAAAGGTTAAGTTAGGTTCAGGAGCCTTTTGAAGGTTTTCTCGTCCATTTAAGAAAAGATTAGGTCATGTCCAGGGGCTTTTTGAGGATTTTTTCTTCTCAACTAAAAAAAGATCAAGTCAGGTCAAATGCGAGGTCTTTTGAAGATTTTCCTAACCAAATAAAAAGGTCAAGTCAGGTCAGGTAAGATCAGATCCGGAAGGCCTTTTGAAAGTTTCCCCACTCAATAAAAAAAGGTCAGGTTCGGGGGGGGCTTTTAAAGTTTTGCCCACCTAAAAAAGGGTTAAGTCAGGTCCGAGAGCTTTTTAAGATTTTCCGGCCAAAAGAAGTCAGGTCAGGTCAGGTCAAGTCAGACAAGGTCCGGGAAGTCTTTCGAAGGTTTCCCCACCCAACAAATAAGGTCAAGGTCAGGTCCGGGGTGTTTAAAAGTTTCCCCACTCAATAAAAAACGGTTAGGTCACGTCCGGGAACCTTTTGAAGATTTTCCTACCCAGTTAAAAAAAGATTGACTCAAGTCGGATCCGGAGGACCTTTTGAATGTTTCCCTATCGAATTAAAAAAAAAGGTCAGGTCAGGTCAGGTCAGATGTAGAGGACCTTTTGAAGGTTCCCCACCAAATTAAAAAAAAACTCAGGCCTTTTGTAGATTTTCCCTCTCAATTAAAAAAGAAGATCAGGTATGGTTCCCAGCCTTTTGAAGGTTTTCTCAACTAAAAAAAGGTCAAGTAAGATCAGGTAAGAACAGGTCTGGGGACCTTTTGAAGATTTCCCTACTCAATTAAAAAAAAGTTCAGGTTATGTTTGGAGGCCTTTTGAAGATTTTCCCTTCCAATTAAAAAATAAGATTTAAGTCAAGTCAGGTCCGGGGCTTTTTGAAGGTTTTCCAACCAGGTGAGATAAGGTCAGATCCGGGGAGCCTTTTGAAGATTTTCCCACTCAGTACTAAAAAATGCTCAGATCAGGTTCGGGCAGCTCTTTGAAGGTTTTCCCGCCTAATTAAAAAAAGGTCAGGTCATGTCCGGGGTCCTTTTAAAGATTTTCCCTTCCAGTTAGAAAAAAATGTAAAGTCCGGTCAGGTCAGGGCATTTTGAAAATTTTCCCAATCAAAAAAAAAGGTCAGATCAGGTAAGATCAGATCCGGGAGGCCTTTTGAAAGCTGAAATATGAAGTCAGGTCAGATACGGTCAGATCCGGGAAGTTTCAATAATAAAAAAGGTCAGATAAGGTTGGGGGAGCATTTTGGAGGTTTTCCCTTTCAGTTAAAAAAAGGTTAGGTCATGTCCAGGGGCCTTTTGAGGAATTTTCCTTCTCAACTAAAAAAAGATCAAGTCAAATTAAATTCGACAGGGTTTTTGAAGGTTTTCCCACCCAACAAAAAAGGTCAAGTCAGATCCAGGGGCCTTCTGAAAATTTTCCAGCCGAATTAAAAAAAAAGATCAGTTTAGGTCAGGTCAGGTTTGGGGGGAGGGTTTTTGAAAGTTTCCCCACCCAATTAAAAAAAGGTTAGGTCAGGTCCGGGAATTTTTTGAAGATTTTTCTGTCCAGTTAAAAAAAGATTGACTCAAGTCGGGTCCGGAGGACCTCTTGAAGGTTTCCCTGCCCAATTAAAAAAAGGTCAGCTCAGTTCGGGAGGCCTTTTGAAGATTTTCCCTTCCAATTATAAAGAACATCAAATCAGATCAGGTTTGGGGGCCTTTGAAAATTTTCCCAACAAAAAAATATGTCAAAAAAGCTCAGGTCATGTCCACGGGCCTTTTGTAGATTTTCCATATCAAATAAAAAAGATCAGGTAAGTTTCGGAGCCTTTTGAAGGTTTTGCCAACTAAAAAAAGGTCAAGTCAGGTCAGGTAAGGTCAGGTCCGGGGACCTTTTGAAGATTTCCCCACCCAATTAAAAGAAAGTTCAGGTCATGTTCGTAGGCCTTTTGAAGATTTTCCCTTCCAATTAAGAAAGAAGACTAAAGTCAGCCAAAAGAAATGTCAAGTCAGGTCAGATAAGGTCAGATCCGGGAAGCCTTTTGAAGATTTCTCCACTCAATAATAAAAAAAGATTAAGTACAGTTTGGGAGCCTTTTGAAAATTTTCCTTTCCAATGAAAAAAGAAGATTCAAGTCAGCACAGGTCTGGGGCCTTTTGAAGATTTTTCCCAACAAAAAAAAAATGTTAAGTCAGGTGAGATAAGGTCAAATCCGAAGAGCCTTTTGAAGATTTTTCCATCCAATCAAAAAGAACATCAAATCAGATCAAGTTTGGGGGTTTTGAAAATTTTCCCAAGAAAAGAAAATGTCACATCAGGTCAGGTCAGGTCAGGTCAGGTCAGATGTAGACGACCTTTTGAAGGTTCCCCCACCAAATTAAAGAAGAGCTCAGATCATGTCCACGGGTCTTTTGTAGATGTTCCCTCTCAGTTAAAAAAGAAGATCAGGTAAGATTCGGCGCCTTTTGAAGATTTCCCCACCCAATTAAAAGAAAGTTCAGGTCATGTTCGGAGAAGATTTTCCCTTGCAATTAAAAAAGAAGATTCAAGTCGGGTCAGATCCGGGGCCTTTTGAAGGTTTTTCCCAACCAAAAAAAGGTGCGATAAGGTTAGATCCGGGAAGCCTTTTGAAGATTTCCCCACTCAATAATAAAAAAAGATCAAGTAAAGTTCGGGAGCCTTATGAAAATTTTCCCTTCCAGGTCAGGTCAATTAAAAAACTGTCAGGTCAAGTTGGGTTAGGTCCGGGTGGGATTTTGAAGGTTTTCCCAACCATTTAGCAAAAAGGTCATGTCAGGACCGGGGACCTTTTGAAGATTTTTCATTCCCAATTGAAAAAAAGATCAAGTCAGCTCAGGTCCGGGGCCTTTTGAAGGTTTTTCCCAGCCAAAAAAAGAATGTCAAATCAGGTGAGATAAGGTCAGATCCGAAGAGCTTTTTGAAGATTTTCCCACTCAATAATAAAAAAAGCTAAGGTCAGGTTCGGGAGCCTTTGAAGATTTTCCCGTCCAATTTTTTAGAAAAAGGTTAGGTCATGTTCGAAGGCCTTTTGAGGATTTTTCCTTCTCAACTAAAAAAAGATCAAGTCAGGTCAATGTTTTCCTAACCAAATAAGGTCAGGTCAGGTCAAATAAGATTAGATCCGGGACGCCTTCTGGAGGTTTCCCCACCTAATAAAAAGGTCAGGTTAGGTTTTTTTGAAGATTTTCCTGACAAAAAAAAGGTCAGTGCGGGGGCCTTTTCAAAAGGTTTTCGAACAAAGAAAGGTTAAGTCAAGTCAGGCTAGATCAGGTCCGGGAAGTTTTTTGAAGGTTCCTCACTCAGTTACAGAAAAAACTGAGGTCAGATCAGGTAAGGTCAGATCAAGTCAGGTAAGGTCAAATTATGTTAAGCCAGATTAGGTCAGGTCAAGTCAGCAAGTCAGTTCAGATCAGGTCAAATCATGTCAAATCAGGTTAAATCGGGTTAGGTCAAGTTAAGTCAGCTTATGTTATGTCAAATCAGATCAGGTCTGGTCAGACCAGCTTTAAGACTGTTTTTGTAATAATTTAAAATAAGTTAAACATAATTATTACCCATTAAGTCAGTAATAGTCAGGTCAGGTCAGGTGAAATTATGTCAAGTCAGGCTAAATGTCAAATCAGGTGAAGCATCAAATCAAGTCAAGTCAGGTGATATTTGGCCAAGTTAGTTTAAGTCAAGTCAGATCAAGTAAAGTTTCTTTAATAAAAACTTTAGGTCAAGTGTTAATTGTTTACTATTTTTGAATAAATTATTTTGTTGAAGTTATAATTAATCTATTGGTTGGAAAATTTCACTTACTTTATTATTCATTTGATTAGAAATAAATATTTCAAATTAAATGTTTCTGGATTGAGTTTCAATTTATGTTCAATAACGCTATTTATCATCAATTGTAAAGTACAAAATGTCGAACAAAAATGATAAACAATAATTAAGTTTCAAATTAGTTTGTTGTTGTCGTTAAAGTCTGAGTTAATACCTATTAATTTGGAGTATGGTTGAAATACGTTTTTTTAGTACATACACAATATCAAAATATTACGTCATCAGCTGCTTAAGGCTGTTCTTACACCAAAATAGAGAGGAAACGGCAGCGACATTTCATTACCCCTAGTTGATTGATGTTTAAAAAAATGCGTCGTAAGTGGGTCCTCAATTGAATACTAGATAACACTACACTCACTCACCTTTAGGAGAAAGCTTCTAGTTATCATAAAAAATCTCGATCCTGTTATCCCAACAGGCGAAGCGTTAATTTGGTGAATCATGCGAGCAATCTAAAACGACCCATTAGTATAACAGCTCCTGGAAACAAAATTAAGTACCTCTTCACAGTAATATTCCGATGGAATCGAATGAAGAACTTCAAGTGGCTTCCTACTCTCATCGTTAATCCAAGCCCCATACAGCGTCACCGCTATAGTCCTAGCCACCAGAAACCCAAACGAATAAAAATAATAAATAGTCTCCACTGGAGTAGACCGAATCCTGAAATCCCACCTTACAAAACAACCAACCACACCTCGGATCTTACTTCAAACTATTGTACAACTGCACGCAAAGAAAGAAGGCGTTGTTAAAGAAGGAGATGGTGACCAAAGCCGCTAGATGTTTATCCACAACTTGCACCAAATGAGCCACTTTGCTATAATCCTCGCGGATTTCCTTCCAGAATTTCTCGTGCATGACCCGATTTGTCTTAAGTCTGCGATTAATTTGAGCGAAGCGAGCCGCTAGAGAGCAACTGATTAGCATGATGAAGAGGTCGGTGTAGTTCCAAGTGACGGTGCTGATGACGTTCGCCAACTACGACTCTGAGTTAGAGAAAGTCAAGCTTGTGGGGGACTTACCTCGACGAAGAAGGCCTTCCAAGGGGAGTATTCGATGACTTTGAAAACCGACGGGAAAGCTAGCTCGAAGTAGATTTCGTCAGAGGAATCCAGGCTGAAGTTGCCGCAGTGTTGCCCCATGGTGAAGGCGTTGCCTATGAAGAGTAGGTGCTCAGCTGGAAGTCCAAAATGAGGGTTGACCAACTAGACGAGATACTCACCGAGGGCTAGAGTCATCACCACCGTGGTCATTATCATGTGGCGTCGCTTCATGGTGACCACGGAGCCGTAGCCCCGCATGGACATCTCCATCAAGGACCACTCCTTGAGCACGTTGGACCAGTTCTTAGCCAGGACTATGAACTGGACGGCGCCGCAGAAATTGAGGATGTAGAAGGACGTGGGACCTGCTTGATCCAGCATCAAGCCGTGGAGGGCGAACTTGAGGATGCAAAATGCTCCCATTACGAAGGCCCCAGCGATGTTGTAGCAGGCGTAGAGGAAGCGGAAGGACTTCCACTTGAACTGGACGTCTTGTATGTTTTTTCTGGTCATGCCGTAGAGAGGCATGATGCCGAAGAACTGCCCGAACACTATCACGAAGGAGAAGCTTTCGTGGAAGCTGTGTTGGGGGTAGGCCAGGGTGGGATCCGGCTCTATTGTGAGTGCCATGTCTGACTTCATCTTCCGGATTACTCTCATTGTGGATTTTGTCTAAAGCGCATAGTAAAGAAAGCCGGTTACTGGATGGAGTGACGCAGTCGAGCGCTTTTTCTGTACATTTGTTGACTAATGTTATCACTCTATCGGTCAATATGGAAATAATTATAAAAATATCGCTGCTGTTCATCAATATTAAAAGTTGTGTAAATATTGACGAAAGGCGGTGTAAGATGAAGAGTGCTGCGTGGGAGGGACGCGTGACTTTGTTTTGAAGTTTCTGTGATTTGGATATCGATCTGTTTTGTGTAAAGTTGTAGGAACTAATGAGTTGTGTAAATAAAGGAGGAAAATATCACTAAATAAAACTTATTTGCCTTCTCAACCTAATCCAATAAATTATGAATTATGCATAGTCAACAACAGTCATTTGTTGACCTCACGCGATAAAAACACCTCCAACACCTGTTGGTTCCCGCTTGCATTGATTTGTTTTCGAAAAATCACCAATCTTATCGTTACATCACTAATAATGTTTATTATTTGCGCAGTTTTGCAATTAAGGTGGGTGTTTGAAATAATCAAAGAATCGTTTAGTTAGGATTTATTTCAAAAGTAATTAATCGCACCGTTTGATTGGATCAGGAAAAGCTCGTAGGTGACGATGCTTCCAGCCATCTGAAACAAAGGCATTAAAAAATTGGTCGAAGGTTGTTGCGATGGAATTTCCCTTGCTCCTAAAGTGCACTTAATAAAACTATGAAAAATTATAAAAAATGTTCGCGATTTTTTTGTTTCTTCAGTTCTTCGTTTGCAATTTTTCGAGTTTTCAAGTTTAAATTTTTCAGTTTTTTAATTTTCCAACTTCTGAATTTTTCAATTTTTCGATTTGAGTGTCTGAAGTTTTCAATTTTCAATTCTTTATTGGTTAGATTTGCCATTTTCCGTTTTTCATTTTATTTATTTTTTCAACTATAAAATTGAAACATCGAAAAACTGAATAAACAAAAACAAAAAAAAAATTTTGTTTTTTCAATTTTAATTTTTTTCAATTTTTCGATTTTTAAGTTTTTTTTGTTTCTCAATTTGTAAATTTTGCAATTTTTCGAGACTTTAATTTTGCATTTTCATTTTGCAGTTTTAGGTTTCGGTTTTTTATTTTCCTTATTTTTACAAATTTTTCGATTTTTCACTGTTCCGATGTTATAATTTTTGCTTCTTCAGTTTTACGAAATGCATCTTTTCGAGTTTTCATTTTTAAATTTCTGTTTTCTGATTTTACAACTTTTGGATGCTTCAATTTTTAGACTTTGCAATGTTTCTATTTGCAATTTGACGAGTTTTCAATTTTTCAATTTTAAAGTTTTGGATTTTTCAATTTGTCATTTCTTCAATTTTTCGATTTGCGATTTTTCAATTTTTCATTTTTTCTTGTTTCTTCAATTTTTACACTTTGCAATTTTTCGATTGACAGTTTTTCGAGATTTCTTTTAGAATTTTTCTGTTTTCCGAGTTTCGAACTTCTGGATTTTGCAATTTTTCGATTCGCAATTTCAAGAATTCTCAATTTTTAGGTTTTTCATTTTTCCGTTTCTTGAATTTATCAATATAAAGTTTCTCGAATTTTCAATTTTTCGATTGGTTAATTTTTTATTTATTCAAATTTTCGGTTTCCAGTTCTTGGTTTCTTTTTTTCGTTTTTTTTATTTTTACAATTTTTTGATTTTTTATGTTCAGATTTTATAATATTTGTGTTTTCAATTTTTTTAATTTGCACTTGTTCCAGTTTTCATTTTTCAATTTTTCTGCTTTCCGAATTTCGAACTTTTAGATTTTGCATTTTTTCGATTTGCAATTTCAAGAGTTCTCAATTTTTAGGTTTTTCTTTTAATAATTTTTCATTTTTTTAAATTTTCTATTTACAATTTTTTTTCTTTATTTTTACAATTGCTCAATTTTTCAATGTTCCGACTGTACAATTTTTTGTATTTTCAATTGTTCGATTTGCAATTTTTCAGTTTTTAATTTTTTTTGTTACGTCAATTTTTTGATTTGTAAATTTTCGTTTCTGTTTTTATTTTCATTATTTTTAAAATATAGCGATTTTTCTGTTTTGATTTTCTAATTTTTCTTGTTATCAATGTGAAATTTTTAATTTTATAATTTTTCTTTTTTTTAATGTGAAATGTTCCAGTTTTTCGATTTTTTAATTTTTAAATTAAATTGAGTTTCTCAAGTTTTCAATTTCTTATTTTTCAATTTTTCGATTTGCAATTTTTGGTTTCGGTTTTTATTATTTTTATTTTTACAATTTTTCCGTTTTTTAATGTTCCAACGTTATAATTTTCTGTTTCTTCAATTTTATGATATGTGTCTTTCCGAATTTTCATTTTAAAATTTTTCATGTTTCAGATTTTCCAGCTTTTGGATGTTTCAGTTTTCAATTTTGCAATTTTTCCTTTTTTAATTTTTCGATTTGCGATTCTTCCATTCTTCATTTTTTTTTGTTGCTCCAAGTTTTACACTTTGCAATTTTTCGTTTTAAAGTTTCTCAAGTTATCAGTTTGCAATTTTTCAGATTTTCATTATTTTCTTGTTTCTTCAATTTTTACATTTTGCAATTTTTCGTTTTAAAGTTTCTCGAGTTTTCAATTTTTCGATTTTTAACTTTTCATTTCTTCAAATTTTCGATTTGCAATTTTTGGTTTCGGTTTTTTATTTTCTTTGTTTTTACAATTTTTCGATTTTTCAATGTTCCCACTGTAGAATTGTTTGCTTTTACAATTTTCGTTTTTTCAATTTTTCGAATTGCGATTTTTCAATTTTACATTTTTTTTTGTTTCTTCAATTTTTACATTTTGCAATTTTTCGTTCTAAGCTTTCTCGAGTTTTCAATTTTTCATTTCTTCAATTTTTCGATTGCAATTTTTCATGTTTTCATTTTTTTCTTGTTTCTTTATATTTTTCATTTTGTTATTTTCTTTTTCGATTTAAAGTTTCTCGAGTTTCCAATTTTTTATTTCTTCAATTTTTCGATTTGCGAATTTTTAAAATTTCAATTTTTTTGGATTTTCATTTTCTTTTTATTCTTGAAATTTTACATTTTCCAATTTTTCGATTTGAAGTTTCTTGAGTTTTCGATTCCTTAATTTTTCATTTTTTCAAATTTTCGATCTGCAATTTTTGGTTTCGTTTTTTTATTTTTTTATTTTTTACAATTTTTCGATTTTTCAATGTTTCTACTGCATAATTTTTTGTTTTTTCAATTTCTGTTTTTTCAGTTTTTCGATTCGCAGTTTCTCAATTTTTAATTTTTTTGTTTCTTCAATTTTTCGATTTGTAAATTTTGATTTCTGTTTTAATTTTCTTTATTTTTTAAATTTATCGGTTTTTCAACGTTTTGATTTAATTTTTTTTTTCAATGTGAAATTGTTCAATTTTTGTGGGTTTCCAATTTTTAGATTTTGCAATTTTTCGATTTGAATTTCCTAAGTTTTCAGTTTTTTATTTTTCGATTTGTTGATTTGCAGTTTCTTCAGTTTTTCGATTTGCGATTTTTCATTTCTTCAGTTTTTCGATTTGTGACTTTTAGTTTTTCATTTTTTTTGTTTCTTCAATTTTTCGATTTGTAAATTTTCATTTCTGTTTTTTTTTATTTTCTTAATTTATCGTTTTTCAATGTTTTGACTTTTTAGTGTTTCTTTTTTCAATGCGAAATTTTTCAGTTTTTTATTTCTTCAATTTTTGGATAGCAATTTTTCAGATTTTCAATCTTTTTCTTGTTTCAATTTTTTGATTTTGCAAATTTTTCGATTTAAAGTTTCTCGATTTCTCAATTTTCATTTCTTCAATTTTTATATTTTTCAATTTTTCGATTTAAAGTTTCTCGAGTTTTCAATTTTTCGATTCTTTAGTTTTTCGATTTGTAATTTTTCAATTTTTCATTTTTTTTTTTTGTTTTTTCAATGTTTCGATTTGTAAATTTTCATTTCTGTTTTTATTTTTTTATTTTTAAAATATAGCGGTTTTTCAATGTACCGACCTTTTAATTTTTCGTTTTAACACTGCGAGATTTCTCAATATTTTATTTTTTTTGTTTCTTTAATTTTTCGATTTGTAAATTTTCATTTTTGTTTTTATTTTCTTCATTTTTGAAATATAGCGGTGTTTCAATGTTCTGAGTTTAAAATTTTCTCTTTTTTCAACATGAAATTTTTCAGTTTTTGGATTTTTTAATTTTTCGGTTTGCAGTTTTTAGTTTCGATTTATTGTTTTCTTTATTTTTACAATTTTTCGATTTTTTAATGTTCCGACTATATAATTTAAAAATTTTTCATTTTTTGTTTCTTCAATTTTTTGATTTATAAATTTTCCTTTCTGTTTTTATTCTCTTCATTTTTAAAATAGCAGGTTTTTGTTCTGATTTTCTAATTTTTCTTTTTTTCTATGTGAATTTTTGGATTTTTCAAGTTTTCAGTTTGCAATTCCTTAATTTTCCACTTTTTTTATTTTTTCAAATTTTCGATTTATAAATTTTCCTTTCTGTTTTTATTCTCTTCATTTTAAAAATATTTCGGTTTTTCAATGTTCTGATTTTCTAATTTTTCTTTTTTTCAATGTGAATTTTTGGATTTTTCAAGTTTTCAGTTTGCAATTCCTTAAACTTTTAGTGTTTTTTCGAATTTTCGATTTGTTAATTTTCGTTTCTGTCTTTATTTTCTTTATTTTTAAAATACATACTTATAGCGATTTTTCAATGTTCTGATTTTCTAATTTTCCTTTTTATTAATCTAAAATTTTTCAATTTTTGGATTTTTAATTTTTCGATTTGTAAATTTTCATTTTTGTTTTTATTTTCTTCATTTTTAAAATATAGCGGTTTTTCGGTGTTCTGATTTTCAAATTTTTATTTTTCTCAATTTTTTAATTTTTGGATTTTTCAATTTTTCGATTTGGAATTTATCAATTCTTTATTGTTTCATTTCTTCAAATTTTCGTTTCTCTTTATATTTTCTTCATTTTTAAAATATAGCGGTGTTTCAATGTTCTCATTTTCAAATTTTTTCTTTTTTCAACTTGAAATTTTTCAGTTTTTGGAGTTTTTTAATTTTTCGGTTTGCGGTTTTTAGTTTCGATTTTTGTTTTCTTTATTTTTACAATTTTTCGATTTTTTAATGTTCCGACTGTATAATTTTAAAATTTTTTGATTTTTTGTTTCTTCAGTTTTTTGATTTATAAAATTTCCTTTCTGTTTTTATTCTCTTTATTCTTAAAATATTTCGGTTTTTCTATGTTCTGATTTTTCTTTTTTTTAATGTGAATTTTTGGATTTTTCAAGTTTTCAGTTTGCAATTCCTTAATTTTTCACTTTTTTTGTTTTTTCACATTTTCGCTTTGTAAATTTTCGTTTCTGTCTTTATTTTCTTTATTTTTAAAATACATATGTATAGCGATTTTTCAATGTTCTGATTTTCCAATTTTCCTTTTTATTAACCTGAAATTTTTCTATTTTTGGATTTTTAAATTTTTCGATTTGCAATTTCTCAATTTTTCATTTTTTTATTTCTTCTTATTTTCGATTTGTAAATTTTCGTTTTCTAATTTTTCTGGTTTTAAATGTGAAATTTTTCAAATTTTGGATTTTTCAGTTTTTTGAATTGGAATTTTTCGAATTTTTTAATTTTCGGTTTTTTCAATTTTAGTTTTTTCAGTGTTTTGATTTTTCAAATTTTGGTTTCTTCACTTTTTGATTTACTATTTTAAATATGTATGTAATAATAGTTATAATTTTTAAAACATTTCACTTTTTCAATTTTACGATTTTAGAATTTTACCATTTTTCAATTATTGGATTTTAAAACTTTTTCATTTATTCGATTTTTCAATTTTTCGATCTTGCAGTGTTACGGTTTTTCGACTTTACAATTTTTACTTTTTCAACGTTTGAATTTTTCGTTTCTTCAGTTCTTCCGATTTGCATTTTTTTGCAGTTTTTTGATTTTCCAATTTTTACTGGTTTTTTTAGTTTTTTGATTTTTAATTTTTCGATTTTTCAACTTTTCGAAAAAAAAAGGAAAATATTGAAAAATCTAAAAATTGGATGTCAAGAACTTGAAAATTTGAAAAATGGAAAAATTAAAAATTGAGAAACTTAAAAAAATGAAAAATTGCAATATAAAAAAAGTGTCAAACCGAAGAGAAAGGAAAAACGAAAAATGCGATATCAAAAATAAAAATCCGGACAGACGGTAGATAGACAGACAGACAGACGGAAACCGAGACCCATTTCTTCCTATTAACTCACCCCCAAGAGAAGCCCCTTGGTTATAGTAAAAAAATCATTGCCGGTCAACGCCACGGGCTGACAATGTATCTGATAGGCGAACCTCTCGATCTGCAAAGCAGACGTGACGTGGTTAATCCATTACGGGTGAGCGGCACGCGGTCCGCTATGCCACTCGAGAAGCAACCTCACAGCGGTCCGCCGTGCCGCTCGCTTTGCATTACCTCAGAACTATAGGCGTCAGAATTCAGCGACAACAAATAACTCATCGACTTCTTGCTTTCGTCATTGATATTTGAAGCGAATAGAATTACAGCGACGGTTCTAAGCACCAGAAGCCCGAAGGAAAAGAAGAAGTAGATGCTTTCGATAGCTGTCGACTTGTGGCTATTATTACACAATTAATTATTAATTATTATTATTATTTTTTAAATTTATGTATTTAGTTACCTAAGACTCCAATATAGTTGTGACGTGATGAAAAACATATTCGTAGCGAAAGACACTATGATAAGAGTGGATATTTCCTTGTTGACAGTTTTACACAAAATGGAAATTTTGTTATAGTCTTCTCGAATTTTCATCCAGTGGTGTTTTACGTGAATCTATTAATTATATTACGTTTTACTTAGTGTGGAGTTAATTAGTTTTATTTTCTTACTTTGGTACTATAGGCGACTGTGACCCTTCTGGTTACCTCCTGGAACTTTTGAGACAGCCCGAGACTTATTATCATGAGAAAAGCGTCCAGAAAGTTCCAGGAAAACACGTTCAAAAAATTCATTACCACAGCGAAAACTGCCAGAGGGGCGGAAAATTCAAAAAAGTCAAACAAATGTGGATAATTCCGGGAAAAATAAGTCAGATATTTGTCTGGATCGTCGCCAGGTATTTGCGAACAAACGTAAATTATAGACAAAACGTGTTCAACTAAAATTTCAAAAATTTGACAAAAATATTGGTTTATTTTTAAAGGTAAACCTATTGCGGCGGTCATAACTATTATTATTATTGAATAAAATTTCCGTTTTATGTTCCGGTTAGTGTTCCAGCCACCCAGAGATGACTCCACCTGGCTCCATTTTTTTATAAGTTTGGGCCAGTTTTTCGCCAGGTTGAAGAAAATTATCCCTCCTATGGTACTGTTTGCGTTAAAAATAAAACTACCTGAAAAGTTTAAACTGTACTGAATTCAATTAGAGAAACGTCACGTTGTGAAAATAAACGAAGTTTACATTAAGTGTGTGAGCTAATATTACATATTTTTTTAGATAAAATTATGTTAACATTTTTTTTTGTATAACGGTTATGAAAACAGGTTTAGAACCATTCATTATGTGTTTATCTATTATTTATTGAGATTATCTCTTTATCTACACCACACAGTAAAAGATAAACACAAAAACCTATAATTTATAGTCGTAATCAAATACCGTACACTGTAAGTGTGACGGATTACAATGACTTAGCAAAATAAGCAATTAAAGCCGTTAATGTGAAGTCATTCATAAAAGGACAAACAATGTATTATTAAAGAACAAAAACACGTAAACACACACATTAAATAAATAGTAGACAATCAGTAAATAAAAACAAACTCACTCATTCGGTGCAAAGTATACCCGACTAGAAAAATTCTGTAAAGAGACATAACCATAGTAAAAGTCGAACCAATAATGACCACTAAAGCCAAAGCGACTCTTTTGGAACACCACGTAAATACCAAATTCTCCAACTTATGCGAAGTGACCCCTCTAACTGGCAACAGTCCAAAAATCTGTGCCATAACTAAAATCCACCTAATATTGACGTGAAAAAGCGCCATTTGCTTGTTCGACTGCAACATTTATGACAATTTTCCGAAGAATGTCGGATGATTATATCTCTACGGGAAAAGTCAGAGGCATTTCGCCCGATTTTTATCGCCCTGTGTGGAACTTATTGTAATTAAAGAACGGAGAAAATTGTCGATGCTTTGATTAAATTTGTGACAACATATTAAATATTCTATGATTATGTCACGTTACCGTATAATTTTATAATATGTCGTTTTGTGTGGCGCTTAAATAAATTTGTTATTGGACAAATATTTTCGGAGCTAGGCAACACATTTTAATTATGTGACGATTCTGGGAAATGTTTTGTAACGTATGTGTGTTTCAAATGTAGTCGTAAAATAGCCATTAAAATTATCAGGTGTGTAATTGTCAAAACTGTAAATGTTGTGACATTGTGATTGATTTAAAGTGATAAAAAAGGGGATCGATATTAGATTAATATTAAATGGTAATTTAATTTTTCGAATTTCGAATGAGATTTGAAAAAAATTGAAATTATAAGGGTTCAATTTTGAGTGATTTATGGTTAAAAAATGATGAATTTTTAAATTTTAAAGTTTCGATTTTTTTCCAGATTTTTTTCATTCTACTTCAATACTGAAAATTACAATTTGACTTTTTCAAAGTAAAGATTAACATCAATCTCTTATTAATTATCAATGCTTTTGACTTTTCAAAATCGAAATTTCTACATTTTTTGGCAATTTTTCGAAAAAAAAATCTCAATTTTACAATATCCTATGATATTTTTTGCCTTTTTTTTGACCATTTTCCAAATTGCCCAAAAAGAATTTTTTTGTAGATTGCGCTCTCGAGAATTTTTGTTTGGCACCGTTTCCTTGAAAATTCCCTCAGTCTATAAAAATGAAAAATGACAATTTTCGGGATATTTTAAAAAACTCGAATTTGTAACCGAATATTTTGAAAATCTTGATTCTGACGCTATATATTTCGATTTAGTTTGTCGATATCGATGTCCTAGATTTTTTTGTGAATTTTTGGCAACTTAGCCAAATTTTTCCATGAAATGAATTTGGAAATTTCGCTGAGGGAAAAAAGATATATTTTTTTTATAAATATATAAAATCTTGGTCCGGGACCATAAATATGCCACATTTTTCAAATCAGCACGTCGAGATCTACTTATATCCCAGAATATTTTGGAAGTTGGGCAACTTTTCTAAAAATTCAATTTTTCAATATAAAAATTTCGACTTTTTTCGACCACCAGATTCATAACTTCAGCTTCATTTCTTCAAAAATTGCCACTATTTTTCGGGAATATTAAAAATGAAAAATGGACATTTTTGGAGCATTTTAAACATTTCAGTTTGAAATTGAATACTCGGAAAATCTTGGTCCTTGGTGTTTGAAAAATCCGTCTTCAACTTTTTAACTACCGAATTAATTTTAAATTTCCGAGTTTTAAATGCTTGAGAGCTCAACTTAAAAAAGGCAACGATCATTCTCAAAGCGAATTTGAAACGAAATATTTGGAAATTTTAATCCGGTACCATTTTTTGTACATTTTTAGGCAACTTTTCCAAATATCTCAATTTTTCAAAATGTTATGAAATTTTTGACCTTTTTTGACTAAGTATTTTCGAAATTGTCCAAATTCGTCGAAAATTGCTACCATTTTTCCGAATCGTCAAAATAAAAAATGGTAATTTTTGGGATGTTTAAAAAATTCGAATTTGAAACTCAATATTTGAAAATCTTGGTCTGGCGCCATAAACATGTTATATTTTCGAATCAGCACATAGAGATCTATATACCAGAATTTTTTGAAAATTGTTGGGCAACTTTTCTAAAAATTCTGTTTTTCAGTATGAAAATTTCGACCTTTTTCGATCACCTATGAATATTATCTAAAGAGATTTTTCTGTAGATACATACCTCCAGAATATATTTCGACCTCATTTCTTTGAAAATTGCGACTATTTTTTCGAAATATCCAAAATGAAATAAGTTGAATATTTGGAAAATTTTGGTTTTTGGTTTTTTGTTGTTTTTTAAATATCAAGCTCTTTTAACTGTCTAATTAACTTAAAATTTTCAACTTTCCAAAGCGCGAAGACCCAACTTAAAAAAAGTCATAATTATTACATTATTTTCACAGCTTCAACTTTTCAAAAATCGAAATTTTTGGTGGTTTATACCTAGTTTATTAAATAAGTAATTGAAAATGATGATAACATTTTGTATTTTATTTTTTAGCAATTTAAAAAAAAATGTGCTAGTAATACTTATTCAAGAATATTATAAAAATCTTAATTTGTAAATGAGTATTTTGAAAATTTTGGTCCGGGACTGTCAACATGTTATATTTTTCGAAGTAGTACATTGAGATGTATATCCAAAATTTTTAAGTGGATTTTTAGCCAGATTTTCGAACGAAACAAAATTTTTCAATACTCGCCCTTATGAAATTTTTGACCTTTTTTTGACCATTTTCGAACTCGAAAGAATGAAAAATGTCAATTTTTGGGATATTTTAAAAATTCGAGCTTGAAACTGAATATTTGGAAAATCTTGATCCCGAACTCGAGATCTAAGTTCTCGATTTTTGTGAATTTTTGGGCCACTTTGTTAGAAGTTCAAATTTTTGAACGAAATGAAATTTTTGACTTCTTCCTGAGAACTTTTTTTATTGATTTCGACCTCCACAAGTGTTTTTCGACTTCATTTCTTTCAAAATTCGTTTGCTAAGACGAAAAATGACATTTTTTGGGATGCATTGAAAATTGGATTTTGGAACAGAATATTTGGAAAACTTTGGGCCGGGACCATTTTTTTGTAAATTTTTACTCAATTTTTCAAAATCTTATGGATTTTTTTATCTCTTTTTTGACCATTTTGTGAATTGCCCAAACAGAATTTTTGGTTCCACTTCTTTGAAAATTCCTACGCTTGTTCCGTAATCTATAAAAAATTTAAAAATGACAATTTTTGGGGCAATTTAAAAATTCGAGGTTGAAACCGAATATTCTGAAAATCTTGATTTGGACGCTATTTAAGTTATCTAAGTTCATAGAGATCTATGTCCTAGATTTTTTTGTAAAAAGTTCAAATTCTTCCTTGACATGAAATTGTTTCACTTTCGCTGAGCGCCTTCGAAATTTAGCGAAAAAAGATATGTTTTTTTGATTTCGACCTCCACAAGTGTTTTTCATTTCTTCAAATATTCTTACAATTTTTCCGAATCTCCAAAATGAAAAATGGAAATTTTTGGGTTATTTTAAAAAATCCAATTTGAAACTGGATATTGAAAATGTTGGTCCAGGATCATAAACATGGCATATTTTTCGAATCAGAACGGCAAGATCTATATCTCTGAATTTTTTGGGAATTGTTGAGCAACTTTTCTAAAAATTAAATTTTTCGATATGAAAATTTTGACTTTTTACGACCAACAAACTCTTTAGGCAATACGTATTTCCTAAAAAGATTTTTCTGTAGATTCGTATCTCCAGAAGGTATTTCGGCTTCATTTCTTTGAAAATTGCCACCATTTTTTCGGAAAATCAAAAATGAAAACTGGAAATTTTTGGGATATTTAAAAAATTCGAGTTTGAAATCGAATATTTGGAAAATCTTGATCAGAAACTAAAGTATGATATATTTTTCGATTGACCTCGTCGATGTCCTAAATTTGTTTGTCAATTTTTGGGCAACTTTGGCAATTTTGTTATTCTGCTGTCTCATTTGACTAATTTTCTGTATATACATAATATATTCTGTAGAACGTTTATACACACATGCATAATATCTATGGTCATATATTTATGTTTATTTTTATGTTTATGTTACTGTTCCGTGTGTTTTGTTGCTATATTTGACGTGTTCAATGATCTTTATTGATCCTAATGAATAAATCACCATTATTATTATTAAAAGCTCAAATTCTTCCTCAATGAAATGAAATTTTTGACCATTGGCTGAGCACCTTCGAAATTTAGCAAAAGACATCCTTTTGTTGATTTCGACCTTCACAACTGTTTTTCCATTCCATTTCTCCCAAAATTCCTACCATTTTTTTCCGAATCGCCAAAATCAAAAATGGCAATTTTTGGGATATTTTAAAAACTCGAATTTGAAACTGCATACTTGAAAATTTTGGTCCAGGATCATAAACGTCGTATATTTTTTGAATCAGCACGTCAAGATCTATATCCCAGAATTTTTTGGAAATTGTTGGGCAACTTTTCTGAAATTCAATTTTCCACTATGAAAATTTCGACTCTTTTCCACCATTAATCTCTTTAGGCAATATTCGCATTACCTAGAGATTCTCGAGAAGGTATTTCGGCTTTATTTTCTTCGATTATTGCCACGATTTTTCAGGAATATCAAAAATGAACAATACAAAATTTTTTTGGAACATTTAAAAAAATCAGTTTGAAACTATACTTGGAATTCTTGGAAAATCTTGGTCCTTGGTTTTTTAAAAATCCGTCTTCAACCTTTTAACTATCGAATTAATTTTAAATTTCCAACTTTTCAAAGCGCAAAGGCTCATCTTAAAAAAGTCACAACTCTGACATCATTCTCAAAAGTTTAAATTTCGATTTTTAAACACTGTACATTTGTCCAGGTTTTGCTTTTTGAAATCGTCTTTTTTACTTTTTAAGTTTCGACTTTTAATAAAGTGGAAATTATTCTCAAGACGTTTGACTTTTCAAAAATCGAAATTTTTGCTGATTTATGGTTTATTAAATAAGAAACCGAAAATGATGATTTTATTATCAACGTAAGATTTTTTATTTTATTTTGTAGTAATTTAACAAAAAAAAAAAAAACGTTCTGATTGCTCAAGAAAATAAGTACATATTTCGAAAATATTGATCTGGGGCCACAAACATGCTATATTTTTCGAATTAACAGGTTGTAATTTGTGTCCTCCATTTTTTGAGGATTTTTGGGCAACTTTTCCAAACACTCAGTTTTTCAATAGTTCCACTATTTGAAATTTTGACTTTTTAAACCATTTGCGAAATTGCTCAGAGACATTTTTTTCTTTGAAAATTTCTACAATTGTTCCGTCATCTATAAAAATGAAAAATGACAATTTTTGTGAAATTTTATTAACTCGAGTTTGAAACCAAATACTCAGAAAATTTTGATCTGAACGCTATATTATTTATATTTAATTAGTTCGCCGAGATCGATGTCTTGGAATTCTTAATTTTTCAGTTTCTCGATTTCTAATTTTTCGATTTTTGGATCTTTTCATTTTTATTTTATATTTTTCAATTTTTCGAATTGTAGCATCTGTTTTAATTTTCTTCGGTTCAAGTTTTCGGTGTTTATTTTTCGTTCCTAACATTTTTGGATTTTCGATACACTTGATTTTAGATTTTTTAGTTTTCTCGAGCTTCCCTGTATTTCAATTTTTAACTAATTTTAATTCTTGGTTTTCTTAATTTCTTGAATTTCGTTTCTCGATTTTTAATTGTTCCATTTTTTAATGTTAAGGGCCGGTTGCATAAACGCAAATCAAATTTAATCTCTGATTAAGAACAATGGTAACTATGATAATAACAATCGTTACTATGGAGTTAATCAGAGATTAAATTTGATTTGCGTTTATGCAACCGGCCCTAAATTTTTCAATTTTAATTTTCTTTTTTTTGGATAATTTTATCTTTCAATTTCTTGAATTTGCAATTTTTCGTTTTTACGATTAGACATTTTAATTTTTAGATTTTTCGTTTCTCGATTTTAATTTTGCGCTTCTCCAGTTGTTTGATTTTTCAGTTTAGGGTTTTACTTTTACATTTTTCATTTATTTCGGTATTTTAACTATAAATTTATTACTTTCTCAAATTGTAATTTTTCAATTTTCCGATTTTTCTTCACTATTTTTCGATTTTAAATTTTTCATCTACACGATTTTAATTCTGAAATTTATAGTTTTTACGATTTTTGGATGTTTTAATTTTTGCTTTTTTCGATTTTCCGAATTTTTGTATCTCTCTTTTCGGTTTTACGACTTTTAATTTTTTAATTTCTGGGTATTGAATTTTTGATAGCCTTGATTTTAAATTTTTAGATTTTTAAATTTTTTCGAGGTTTCCCCTATTTCATTTTTTAATTAATTTTCTATTCTTGGTTTTCTTAATTTTTCGAATTTTGTTTCTCGATTTTTAATTGTTCGATTTTTCGTCAAATTTTTCAATTTTAATTTTTTTTAACTTTTGAGTTTCCAGACTTTTAATTTTTCGGTGTTTCGATTTTTCAATAATTTCATCTTTCGATTTCTTGATTTTGCAATTTTTCGTTTTTACAATTTATAGATATTTTAATTTGTACCTTTTTCAGTTTTTAGATTTTTGATTTCTTAAGTTTAAATTTTGGTCTGGGGCCATAAACATGTTTTATTTTTCGAATTAACACGTTGGAATTTATATCCTCCATTTTTTAAGATTTTTGGGCAACTTTTCCAAAAAAACTCAATTTTTCAACACTCCCACTATTTGAAATTTTTTACTTTCTTTTTACCATTTTCGAAATTGCTCAAAGAGACTTTTAGTAAATTACGCCCTCGATAATTTATTTTTGGCTACAATTCTTTTATAGTCCAAATGAAAAATCCCAATTTTTGAGACAAAATTTCTTCTTGTCAAAACGAAAAGTGGCAATTTTTGAGAGATTTTAAAAATTCAAATTTGAAGCTGGGTATTTGAAAATCTTGGTCTGGGATCATAAACATGCTATATTTTTCGAATTAGCACTTTGAGATCTATAATTCGGAATTTTTTGGAAACGTTTCTAAAAATCAGCTTTTCAGTTTCAAAATTTCGACTTTTTTAACTACGATACTGTTTTTCGACTTTTTGATTTTTTGATAATTTGATTTTTCCATTTCTCAATTTCTCGATGTTTCGTTTCCTAGATTTCCCGATTTTTCGATTTTCAATTTTTTAGCTCTTCAATTTTCCAATTTTTCAAAATTTCGGCATTTTGATATTGAATTTTTTTCTACCAATCTCCAAATTATGAAAGCCTAGAAAGGGCTTTTCAGTAGAAAAATTGAAGCTTCAAAACCAGTTTCCAGGCTTTGGTTTTTCAAGAGAAAATTTGTGTGACCGAATTTTTTTATATATATTTTTTAAATCTACTTCTGTTTTAAAATACTAAAATATTAATATCCGATATTAATTTTTCCTGAAACTTGAATTTTACTTTAAAATTTTCAACATCAATACTAAAGCTTACAGTTTTAAATCGCAAAGCTCTATTTCGTTAAAAAAATCGCTACTTGGACACTCTTCTCAAAATTTTGACTTTTAAAAGTGCAAACTTCAACTCGAATCTCCTTTAAAATTTCAGTTTAAATCAACATCTTTAGCATTTTTGACAATTATTCTCAAAAAAGTAACATTTTCCACTAATACTTACTCAAGTTGCTCAAACTATACTCAACGTAGACCATTCTAAAGAACGCCACCACGGCCACAAAACACGACCCAAAAATAAGCACCTGCGAATAAAAAACCCTCTTCAAGTACCAACTGAAACTCAAATCGTTGTAATTTTCCCCAGTGACTCCCCGAACCGGCAAAAGCCCAAAGCTCTGCGCCATCACCAAAACCCATCTAACTCTCTGGTGAAAAAATTTTTCATCACCCTGTTTGCCACAAACCCACTTCATTTTTTCCACAACTCTCTCTCTCATTTAACCCCAAACCAGAATTCCCTGCACAAAAATATTTTTATTGAGTTACTACTTAGATTAATCACAATTATTTTATATTTTTATTCAAAAACAAATAGTCTCGTTGGCTGTCATGTACTTGTTCAGCGTGGCTTGGTTAAACTGGATCAACACCAGCTCGTAGGTGATAATGGCAGCTGCCACCTTGAAGAAAAACATTTAGAACTTGGAGACGTGTTTACGTTGGCTACGTACACTTAGCACGAGTCCTTTTGTGACCCGAAAGAAATTGTGTCCTGTCAGAGCCACCGAATCGACGTGTATTTGTGTTATCAATCGTTGTATCTACGGAAAAAGGTGTGAGTTTTTGTGGTGGGTGAAGGGTCGGGGATGAACCTCTTCGTTGTAGAATTCGCTGGGGAGGGAGGTGAGGTATGGCAGGGCTGCTTGGCTTTCCTCGTTGATGAAGGCGCCGAAGATTGAGACGAAGACAATTCGGCTGATGACGAAGCCGAAGGAGTAGAAGAAGTAGATGCCTTCGATAATGGAGCCCATTTGCCTGGAACGGTTTGTTCTAGAAATTTTTCTTTATTTTTTTACTTCCCGAGCGTAAGCTAAGGAGTAAACTGTTTATTTTTATAAAACAAGATACATTTGGATTTTTTTTTGGAAAAAAATGTCAAAATTTTTGGAATTTGACTTTGACACTGCAAAACCGAGTGCTCTGAAATTTTGTAAAAGTTTTGAGGTTATCGGAAGCATGGTAAATCGTTAATAAAAATTTCTTCCTTTATTGCCTTCCAAAAAATGGATGACGTCATTATAAAATTTTGTAATGGAAACTAATTTAAAAAATTACATTGACTGTAACATTACTTTCGAAAACTCTGGATTCATTTACCTTCGACCGATTTTTTGAAATCACAATTTTTTGCTTTTTCATTTTCTTTCATTTTTCAACATTTCCATTTTTCAATGCTTCGGTTTCATAATTTTTCGTTTTCTAAACTAGAATTTTTCTATTTTTGAATTTTCTGCCTTCCAAATTTTTCAGGTTTTCGTTTCTTCAAATTTTTCGATTTGCAGTTTTTCAATTTTGCAATTTTTCGGTATCACAATTTTTCAGTTTCTTAATTTTTACTTTTCTAACTTTCAAATTTTTCAACTTCTTGACTTCTATTTTTCATTTTCTGCAGTTTTTAACTTTCATTTTCTCTATTTAATATCACAATTTTTCGTTTTTTCATTTCCTTTATCGTGTTTCTTTCGATGTTATAATTTTTCGTTTATTCAATTTTTCGAAATTTTAATCTTTGATTCACCAATTTTAAAATTTTTCGATTTCCACATTTTGGATTTCCAATTATCCGATTTTCCGATATCTTTAATTTTCATTATTTTTTTACGATACATATTTTGTTTTTAGATTTTGCACTTTTTCGATTTTAAGTTTCTCAATTTTTAATCTTTCGATTTTTCCATTTTTGGTTTCTTCAATTTTTCAAGTTTTTGATTTCGACTTTTAGATTTTCAGACTTTTCATTTTATACTTTTTCGTTTTTTCATTTGTTACAATTTTGTAATTTTTCCATTTTTTTTAAAGGAATGGAAAAATCGAAAAATTGCAAAATCGAAAATGTGGAAAATCTAAAAATTGTAAAAAAAAGAACTGAAGTAACGAAAGATCGAAATATGATAAATGAAAAAATTGGTAAGAAGAAATTGATCAAGTAGAAAAATTGATCACATGGAAAAATTATTACAGAAACGTCAAAATTTTGAAGTCGAAAAACTGGGACATTCAAAGACCGAAAAATTGACAATTAAATGTCGAGAAATTGAAAAATACAAAATCAAAAATTGAAAAATCAATTAAATGAAAAAGTTTTAAAATCCAATAATTGAAAAACGAAAAATTCTACAATCATAAAATTGAAAAAGCCAAAAATTAAAAAAAAATATACTTAATACATTAAAATCAAAGCTACAAAAATCTCTTATCAGCAATTGAAGAAGCGAAAAACTGAAAAATCGAGAAACTGAAAAATCTAAAATTGAAAACACGCAAAATTGAAGAAATAAAGAAAATAAATCGAAACGAAAATTGCAAATGGAAAAATGAAACTTCGTGGAATAGCAAAATCTAAATATTGAAACATCCAAAAATTGGAAAATTGGAAAACAGAAAAATTGAAAAATAAAAACTCTGAGAGAAGCATACTAAAGAATAAAAAAAAAGAAAAATTGCAATTCGAAAAAATGAAGAAACGAAAAATTTAAAAAATTTGAATTGAAAAAACAAAAAATTATTAAATCGGAAAATTGTAAAAATAAAGAAAATTAAAAAACGGATTTAAATAAAAAAATTGCAAAATCTAAAAACCGAAGAAACAAAAAAAAAATAAAAAATTGAATAATTGCAAATCGAATAATTGAAAAAATTAAAATTGAAAAAACAAAAAATTATAAACTTAGCACCTTTGAAAATCGAAAAATTGTTAAAATAAAGAAAATGAAAAACCGAAATAAAAACTTGCAAATTGAAAAATTGAAGAAATGAAAAATTTAGAACTCATGAAATTGCAAATCGCAAAACTGAAACATCTAAAAGTTGGAAAATCGGAAGAGTGAAACACTTTTTTACAATAAAACTCCTAAAATTGAAGAAACAAAAAAAATAAATATTTGTAAATCGAAAAATTGAAAAAATTGAGATTGAACAAAAAAGAAAACTATAAAATTGGAACACTGAAAAATTAAGCAATTGTGAAAATAAAGAAAATAATAACCGAAACCAAAAATCGCAAATGAAAAATCAGAAGAAATGAAAAATTAAAGAATCAAAAAATTGAAAACTTGAGAAATTTAAAATCGAAATATTGCAAAATCTAAAATTTGAAGAAAGAAAAAAAATTGAAAAATAGAAATCGAAAAATTAAAAATATTAAAATTGAAAAAGCAAAAAATTATAAAATCCAAGCATTGAAAAACCGAAAGTTGCAAATAGAAAAATTGAAGAAATGAAAAACTGAAAAATCTAAAAGTTAGAAAGTCGGAAAACTAAAACATTTTAAAATGAACACTCGTAAAATACCTCCTAAAATTGAGGAAGCAAAAAAAAAAATGAAAAAGTGTAAATTGAAAAACTAAAATAATTGAGATTGAACAAAAAAAATTAGAAAATTGCAACATTGAAAAATTAAAAAATTGTAAAAATAAAGAAAATAAGAACCGAAACCAAAAATCGCAAAATCGAAAATTTGAAGAAATGAAAAATTAAATTTCAAAAAATTGAAAATTCGAAAAATGTTAAATCGAAATATTGCAAAATCTAAAATTTGAAGAAAGACGAAAATATAAAAAATTGAAAAATCGAAATCGAAAAATTGAAAATATTAAAATTGAAAAGACAAAAAATTATAAATCGAATTCAAAAAAAAAAAAATGAGATTGAACAAAAAAAATATAAAATTGGAGCATTGAAAAATTAAACAATTGTAAAAATAAAGAAAATAAAAAACTGAAACCAAAAATCGCAGACGAAAAATTTGAAGAAATGAAAAATTAAAGATTCAAAAAATTGAGAATTATAAATAAAACTGATAACTGAAGAAATTTCAACTCGAAATATTGCAAAATCTAGAAACTGAAGAAAGAAAAAAACTGAAAAAATTAAAATTGCAAAAACAAAAAGTTATAAAATCTAAAGAACGAAAATGAAAAGTTGCAAATGGAGAAATTGAAGAAATGAAAAACTGAAAAATCTAAAAGGTGAAAAATTAAAAATTGAAAATTCATGAAATTGCAAAATCTAAAAATTCCAACATCTAAAAGCTAGAAAGTCGAAAAACTGAAACATTTTAAAATGAAAACTCGAAAAATAAATTCTAAAATTGAGGAAACAAAAAAAAATAAAACAATTTAAATCGAAAAATTGAAAAAATTGAGACTGAACAAAAAAAAATAATACAATTGAAAGAAAACCATTGAAAAATTTAGAAATTGTAAAAATAAATAAAATGAAGCACTGAAACCAAAAATCGGTAATGGAAAATTTGAAGAAATAAAAAATTTAATTTCAAAAAATTGAAAATTTACAAATTGAAACTCGAGTAACGTTAAATTCAAATATTGCAAAATCTAAAAATTGAAGAAAGAAAAAAAATATTATAACATCTAAACATTGATAAAATTGAATAATTTAATAAAGAACAGAAGTGAAAGGTTGCAAATTCATGAAATTGCAACTGAAACATCTAAAAGTGGGAAAGTCGGAAAGTTGAAATATTTAAAAATAAAAACTAGGGAAAAAAAACTCTTAAACTGAAGAAACAAAAAAAATTACAAAATTGTAAATTGAAATATCGAAAAAATTGAGATTAAAAAAAATATATATATAAAATTGGAACATTGAAAAATTAAGAAATTGAAAAATAAAGAAAATAGAAAACCTAAACCAAAAATCGCAAATAAAAAAATTGAGGAAATAAAAAATTAAAGATTCAAAAAATTGAAAATTTAAAAACTGAAAACTCGAGAAATTTTAAACCGAAATATTGTAAAAAATATAAATTGAAGAAAGAAAAAATTTTAAAAACTGAATAATCGCAAATAGAATAATTGAAAAACTGAAATTGAAAAAACAAAAAAGTATAAAATCCAAGGATTGAAAAATCGAATAACTGAAAAATTAAAGAACCGAAAGAAAAGTTGCAAATAGAAAAATTGAAGAAATGAAAAATTGAAAATCGAAAACTTGAAGAATTAAAACCAGAAAACTCCTGAAACTACAAATCGAAAAATACAAAATTTAAAAACTGAAACATCTAAAAGTTGGAAAGTCGGAAAACTGAACCATTTAAAAATGAAAGCTCGAAAAGACTTCTAAAATCGAAGAAATAAAAAAAAATAAGAAATTGTAAAAATAATGAAGATAAAAAGCCGAAACCAAAACTCGCAAATCGAAAATTTGAAGAAATGAAAAATTAAATTTCCGAAAACTGAAAATTTAAAAATTGAATAATTGAAAAACTTTTAAATCGAAATACTGCAAAATTTATAAATTGAAATTTCTAAAAGTTGGGAAGTCAGGAAACGGAAACATTTAAAAATGAAAACTCAAAAAAAGCTCCTATAATTGAAGAAAAAAAACTTAAAAAATTGTAAATCGAAAAATTAAAAAAATTTAAACTGAAAAATAAAAAAATTATAAAATTAGAACACTGGAAAATTAAGAAATTGTAAAAATAAAGAAAATAAAAACCGAAATCAGATTTAAAAAACTGAAAATTTAAAAAATGAAAACTTGAGAAATGTTAAATTGAAATATGGCAAAATCTAAAAATTGAAGAAACAAAAAAAAAGAAAAAATTGAAAAGTCGCAAATCGAAAAAATGAACAAAAAAAAAAACGAAAAATCAGAAGAATTATAAAATCGAAATATTGAAAAATCGAATAATTGGTAAAAATAAAGAACATAAATAAAAAAATAAAATTTTAAATCAAAATATTGCAAAAATTAGAGAAACAAAAAAATAGAAAATTGAAAAATCGATATAGAAATATTGAAAAAATTAAAATTGAAAAAAAAAATTGTAAAATCGCAAATAAGAGTTACAAATGAAAAATTGCAAAATTCAAGAGAAGAAAGTTGAAAAACTGAAGAAACAGAAAAAAAGAAAAATTGAAGAATTGGAAAATTCAACTAAAAAAATTATAATTTTTCATACAGGCGGAATTTATTGGACTGCCCTTTAGAGGCGAGAAAAGTTCGTTTTTTACTAACCTCAAACTGTTGAATAATTGTATCAAGATGAAAGTGAGATTGCACGAATAAGACAAAAGAACCAAATTAGAGAGCAGTTGATCCAGAGAACGCATTATGTTGTTCATGTTGTCGTAGTCTTCACGAATCTGACGCCAAAGCTTATATTCAGTTTTCTAAAAAAAAATATAATTTATCCTCACTTAAACCCTGGTTTATTTACCGGTGTTTGAGGGTACTTTAATAAAACTAGCAGCTTTTCCATCCGCGCTATTATATCTGGTACAAATTTCTTCAGTTGTGATCTTCATTTTGAGATTGATTTGTCGGAATCGCTCGGTCATAATAATACTAATCAGAATGATAAAAATATCGCCAAAATTCCACACCACAGTGGCTGTCCAACTTATAAACTGAAATTCCACTACATAGGTACACAAAATGCAACCAAATTTTAGTTCTACTCACCGTCAAAACGAGCCCAGACACGAAATTATACGGCATATAAGTAAAAATGAAATGAAACTGTTTCTTGAAAATATGTTCCGCACCTTCCGCATCATTCTGACAAGTGGAAGAGTAGACATAGTTACAAACAGACAAAGCGTGCTCTAATAAAGCCACGATAACCATAGCTACCCCAGAGTATTGAATTCTTTTATATAAATCTGCAGTCGTTTTGTAGTTTTTCAGAACGTGGTCTTCGATTTTCGTCCAGTGGGTCAGAAAGTCGGGCCATTTGTAGGCAAGGTTGTAGAAACACAACGAAGTGATAAACGCGTGTATGAAGAAAAGTGGAGAAACTAAAAAATCAAAAACTAGAAACGAAAAAACGGATTTTGCTTACTTACTGAGTTGATTTAGCAAAATCCCTACTGTCATCGACTTGTAGAACGAAAACCCTCCACAAAACAAAAATCCAAACGAAATTAAAAAAGCGTATAGTATTTTCCAGGATTTGAAGCGAAATTCCACTTTAGAAGGATCCGAATTCCTTACATTACCCACGGGAAAAATCCCCACGATTTGGGCAAGCGTGAGGACGTTTTTGAGACAATTATGCGTAATCGGCGCCCTTTCACCCGATTTATTATTGTTCCCGCTGAGCCTCCTCCAAAAATTCAGCCACATTCTGTCCATCAAACTTTATCACCGTTCCTGTCACGCACCCTCCACGCATTAGTCTAATACAATTTAAACACACAGTAAACACGCTTATCAGTCCTTTTATTGTCGATTACCATAATTTTTTTAGTGTCTTTTTGTTTGTTTTGCTGAGCTTTATGACGTTATCGGTTTGAGTGAATTATAATCGGAAAGTTTGTAATTGTGCTAAAAGCCGGACGAGATCGATCGGGGTATTTTTTGAATGTCCATCACTTGAACGCAGTGCTTGTTTACTGTTATTGTTTCCGAGTTAATTTGTTTTCTTTCAATTTAAACTCACGATTCTGGCAGCGATTAAAAAAATATTTACTGGGGGTGAATAATTCAGTTGTTGTGGTAGCGGGAAATTGTTTACGTCGCGAATTGAGGGAAACGAGGAACGAAAACATGGTGGGTTTGACAGCGGACATGATGAACTTGGAAAGTGTAATTAATTATAGGCATAGTACGGGAAATGGAATTTCTAGCACATGATTGTGACGTTTAATAATACGATTTATATAGTGAACTATTTATTACACAGAAATAAAAAAAAATGTATTCGAAAAAAATATGGTCAAAGTAAATCTCTCTAACGAACGAGAAAATAACACAAAAATGGTACTGAGAAATTGAGAAATAATATTATTATTTTATTTGTTAATACGTGTTTTTCGGCCTCGTTCCTTGGAAAATTCCTACAATTTTCTTTGAATGATCTAAGTGAATATGGCAATTTTTGGGAGAGTTTAAAAATTTGTCGATATACTAGATTTTTTTTTATTTTTAGGCAACTTTACCAAAAACTCAAGTTGTTCAATGAAATAACCTCTTCCTGACCACTTTCAAAAATTAGCAACAGAGTTTTTTTTGTTGATTTGCAACCCCAGAAGTGTTTTTAAATTTATTTTTTTCGAAAACTTGTAACATTTAATATCTTAGAATTTTTTTGAAATTTTTAGTCAAGTTTTTTAAAAGTTCAGTTTTTCTTCCTCTTTTGAAAATATTTACTTTTTTCCGAACACCTTCGAAAATTATTCAGACACTTTTTTGTAGATTGGATCTTCCAGAATTTATTTACGCCTTGTTTAAATTTTTTTAAAATTTTCAATTTTTCCGTAATCGATAAAAATAAAAAATGTCAATTTTTGGGTATTTTAACAATCTGATTTTGAAACCGAATAGTTGGAAAATTTCAATTTAAAATTTAGCAAAAAACATTTTTCTGTTGAATTTGACTTTCAGAAGTATTTTTCGGCTTTATCTTTTTGAAAATTTCTAATATTTTTCCGAATTGCCAAATTAAAAAATGGTAATTTTTAGAATAATTAAAAATGAATTTGAAAGTGAACTTTTCGAAAATATTGGTTTAAGATCATAAACGCGTTATATTTTTCCAATTACCATTTTCTGTGATTTTTTCGGCAACTTTTCAAAAAGTTCAAGTTCCTCAATAAAATGAAATTATTTTAGGTCTTCTTCGGTTGCTTACCTTTGGAAAAACAGCTAAATTTTTTAAGATTTTGTCCAGAATCGCAAGAGATATTTGCAACTTAAAGTTGTCGCGTGCCGGTAATCCCCACATGTTAGAAAGCAGAATAATTCAGGTCCGGAAGGGACCATCGTTACGCTCGAATGAAAATGAGCATTATTTTATGAGTACAACTAACTACCTGCTAAATGTTCTCCGACAAATTCAGGTGAACTGGTGTAAGCCATAACTATTTCTTACCATTGTACTACTGTCCGTCTCGTGATTTTCAATAAAATTTTATAGGCTACAATAAAATTTCCAAAACTATACTACTGTTCGTCTCGTTATTTGCAATAAAATTTTATAGGGTAGAATAAAATTTCCAAAACTATACTAGTATGGTAATGTTTGGGATATTTTAGAAATTTGAATTTGGAACTGAATATTTCGAAAATCTTCTAAGATATCCTAGAATTTTTTGGAAATTTTAGGTCAAGTTTTTAAAAGTTCAGTTTTTCAGTACTCCCCCTTTTCAAAATAATTACCTTTTTCCTACCACCTATGAAAATTATTCAAAAAGACTTTTTGTAGATTGGAACTTCCGAAATTTATTTACGGATGGCTTAAAACTTTCTAAAATTTTCAGTTTTTTCGTAACCGATGAAAATAAAAAATGTCAATTTTTGGGTATTTTAAAAATCTGATTTTGAAACCGAATATTTGGAAAATCTCAATATAAAATTTAGCAAAGAACATTTTTCTGTTCATTTCGACTTCCAGAAGTATTTTTCGGCTTTACCTTTTTGAAAATTTCTAATATTTTTCCGAATTGCCAAATTAAAAAATGGTAATTTTTAGAATAATTAAAAGCTCTGAATTTGAAAGTGAGCTTTTCGAAAATATTGGTTTAAGATCATAAACGCGTTATATTTTTCCAATTAGCATTTTTTGTGATTTTTTCGGCAACTTTTTAAAAAGTTCAAGTTCCTCAATGACATGAAATTATTTTAGGTCTTCTTCGGTTGCCTACCTTTGGAAAAACAGCTAATTTTTTTAAGATTCTGTCCGTTTTTTAAGGTGCCAAATACCTTGGTCCACAAGTAACATTTTATATATAGTTTTGGAAATTTCATTCTACCCTATAAAATTTTATTGGCAATAACGAGACGGACAGTAGTAGAATAGCAAGAGGTATTTACAAGTTAAAGTTGTCGCGTGCCGGTAATCCCCAGATGTTAGAAAGCAGAATAATCCAGCTCCGGACAGGGACTATCGTTACTCTCGAACGAAAATGAGCATTATTTTATGAGTACAACTAACTACCTGCTAAATGTTCTCCGACAAATTCAGGTGAACTGGTGTAAGCCATAAATATTTCTTACCATTGTACTACTGTCCGTCTCGTGATTTTCAATAAAATTTTATAGGGTACAATAAAATTTCCAAAACTATACTACTGTCCGTTTCGGTATTTTCAATAAAATTTATAGGGTAGAATCAAATTTTCAAAACTATACTACTATGGTAATGTTTGGGATATTTTAGAAATTTGAATTTGGAACTGAATATTTCGAAAATCTCTAAGATATCCTAGAATTTTTTGGAAATTTTAGGTCAAGATCTTAAAAGTTCAGTTTTTCAGTACTCCCCCTTTTGAAATTAATTACCTTTTTCCCACCACCTACGAAAATTATTCAAAGAGACTTTTTGTAGGTTGGAACTTCCGAAATTTATTAATGATGGCTTAAATTTTTTTTTAATTTTCAGTTTTTTCGTAATCGATGAAAATAAAATTTTTGGGTATTTTAAAAATTTGTGTTTGAAAGCGAATATGTGGAAAATCTCAATACGAAATTTAGCAAAAAACATTTTTTTGTTGATTTCGTTCTCTAGAAGTGTTTTTCGGCTTCATTTTTTTGAAAATTTTTGGTTAATTTTTTTAAAAGTTCAGTTCTTCAGTACTTCCGCTTTTGAAAATAATTACCTTTTTCCCATCGTCTACGAAAATTATTCAAAGAGACTTTTGTGTAGATTGGAACTTCCAGAATTTATTTACGCATGGCTTAATTTTTTTTTAATTTTCAATATTTTCGTAATCGATAAATAACAAATGCCTATCTCTGGGTATATAAAAATTCAAAATTTAGCAAAAAAAAATTGTTTGTCGATTTCGACCTCCAGAAGGTTTTTCGGCTTCATTTTTTTTTTTAAATTTCTAACATTTTTCCGAATTGTCAGAATAAAAATGGTAATTTTTGAGCTGTTTAAAAATTGGAATTTGAGTCCGAATATGTATTTTGAAAATCTTGGTTTTGGACCATAAACACGCTATATTTTTCGAAACAGTACGTCGAGATCTATATCCTCGAATTTTTTGGAAATTCTTGCGCTACTTTTCCATAATTCAATTTTTCAACATTCTTATGAAAATTACGACTTTTTCGACCGAAAAAGTGGTCTCAATATTTTCAAAAAACTCCGGGTTATAAATCCTGACGCGTTGATTCGAAAAATATATCGTGCTTAGGGTCACGGAGCAATATTTTCTAAAGCTAGTACCTGCTAAAATAAGACTGATTTTGGCAGGTGATATAACCCCTAAAAAAGGAGAGGGAGGGTGGGCGGGGCTAGCACATACTAAGGTAAGACTGACTTTGGCAAATGACGTACCCCCTAAGAAAATAGAGGGCGGGTGGGTGGGGCTAGTACCTTCTAAGATAAGACTGATTTTGGCAAATGATACACCCTTTACGAAAAAAGAGGGCGGGTGGGCGAGGCTAGTACTTGCGAATCATAAAACGAAAATATCGGAAAGTTGAAAAATCGAAGAAAAATTAAAAATCGAAAAATTGAAAAATTGAGAAATTGAAACATCGAAAAATCGAGAATTTGAAAATAAAAAAATCAACATCTAAAAATTGAAAAATTGAAGAATTGAAAAACTGAAAAATTGAGAAATCGAGAGGTCGAGTAATCGAAAAGTCGAAACACCAAAAGAGCGATTAACCGAGAAATTGAGAAATCAAAAAATCAAAAATTCAGAAACGTTAAAAATTGAAAAATTGAAAAATTTTAAAAATGGCGAAATCGAATCAAAGAATCGTAAAGTAGAAAAACTGAAAAATCGAGAAATCGAAAAATCTAAAAATTGAAAAATCCAAAAACCGAAACATCAAAAAATCGCATAAATGAAGAAAAAAAAAACTCAAAAATCGAGAAATCGAGGAATTCCAAAACTAAAATGACGAAAAATTAGAGTATCGAAAAATTGAAAATTGGGAACATTGAAAAATTGTAAAATCGAAAAGCGAAACATCGAAAAATCGAGAATTTGGAAATAAAAAAATCGTAACGTCAAAAATTGAAAAATTGAAGAATGGAAACATTCGAGAATTGAAAAACTGAAAAAACGAGAAATCGAGAAGTCGAGTAATCGAAAAGTCGAAACACCAAAAGAGCAATTAACTGAGAAATTGAGAAATCAAAAAATCGAAAATTTAAAAACGTCAAAAATTTTAAAAATCGGAAAACCGAGATGTCAAGAAATCGAATCAAAGAATCGTAAAGTAGAAAAATTGAAAAATCGAGAAATCAAAAAATTTAAAAATTGAAAAATCTAAAAACCGAAACATCAAAAAATCGGATAAATGAAAAAAAAATCCAGAAATCGAGGAATTCCAAAACTGAAATGACGAAAAATTAGAGTATCGAAAAATTTAAAACTGGAAACATTGAAAAATTGGAAAATCGAAAAGCGAAACATCGAAAAATGGAAACATGGAGAAACGAAAATCAACACATCGAGAAATCGATAAGTCGAAAAGTAAAAAAATCGAAAAATTGAGAGATCGAAACGGTCCAACAATCAAATAAACGCAAATTAAAAAACTGAAAAATAAAAAAATTTAAAATAAAAAATCAACAAATCGAAAAAATTAAAAATCGAAAAACTGAAAAATAGAAAAATTTAAAAACAGAAAAATTAGAAAAAAGTCAAAATTTTAAGATTTGCAAAAACCTTTTCAGTCAAAAATTCGAAATTTTCATAAGGGTATTGAAAAATTGAATTTTGGAAAAATACGCCAAAAATTTACAAAAAATTCCAGGATATAGATCTCGACCTACTGATTTGAAAAATATAACGTGTTTATGGTTCAAAACCTAGATTTCAAAATATTCAGACTCAAATTCCAATTTTTAAATATCCCAAAAATTGCTTTTTTTATTGTGGCAATTCGAAAAAATGTCAGAACTTAAAAAAAATGAGGCCGGAAACAATTCTGGAGATGGGAATCAACAAAAAAATGTTTATTGCTAAATTTCGAATTGAAATTTTCCAAATACTCAGTTCCAAACTCAAATTTTTAAAATACCCAAAATTTGACACTTTTGATTTTTATTGATTATGGAAATTTTTTTAAAAATTTAAGCCATCCGTAAATAAATTCTAAAAGTTTTCATAAAAGTCTGTTTGAATAATTTTCAAAATAAATATATATTTTTAAAATACTTGACCAAAAATTTACAAAAAAATTATAGGAAATTTTAGGAGATTTTCTGAATATTCAGTTTCAAATTTAAATTTCTGAAATATTCCAAACGTTACCATAGTAGTATATAAAATGCTCCTCTGGGTTAAGGCCGAAGGGGCAGAATCTTAAAAAAATCAGCTGTTTTTGCAAAGGCAAGTAACCTAAGAAGACCTAAAAAAATTTAACTTCATTGAGGAATTTAAGCTTTTTGAAAAATTGTCGAAAAATTAAAAAAAAATCGAGAATATGCATTGGAAAAGTATAGCGCCTTTATGGTCCCAGACCAATATTTTCGAAATAAGTATTCAGTTTCAAATTCATATTTTTTAATTATTCTAAAAATTATCATCTTTTAATTTGTCAATTTGGAAAAATTTTCATAAAATGACGTCGAAGAATACTTCTGAAAGTCGAAATCAACAAAAAAAATGGTTTGTGCTAAATTTTAAATTGAGATTTTCCAAATCTTCGGTTTCAAACTCAAATTTTTAAAATACCCAAAAATAGGCATTTTTTATTTTTATTTTTAGCGATTACAGAAAAACTGACAATTTAAGATTTTTTTAAAGAAGCCGTAAATAAAGTTCCAATCTACAAAAAAGTCTCTTTGAATAATTTTCGAAAGTGGCTGAAAAAAGGTAAATATTTTCAAAAGGGGAGTACTGAAAACTGAACTTTTAAAAAATTTGACTAAAATTTTCTGAAAAATTCGAGGGTATTTTAGGAGATCTTTGAAATATTCAGTTTCAAATTAAAATTTCTAAAATATCCCAAACATTACCATAGTAGTATAGAAAATGCTACTTCTGGTGTTCTGGACCAGGGTATTTGGCACCTTAAAAAACGGGCAGAATCTAAAAAATTTAGCTGTTTTTCCAAAAGTAAGCAAGCGAAGAACTAAAAAATTTCATTTCATAGAAAAATTCGACCTGAGTCGAAATTTGCCTAAGTGGAAGTATACACAGTGGAAAAATTCATTTTTGAAAGTGTCGTCTAAAAATTCTCAAAAAATTGAGGCTAACAGATCTTGACGTGCGGATTCCAAAAATATAGCGCGGTTAAAGTTACGGCCCGATAATTTTTAAATATTCGGAGTGAAATTCGAATTTTATGAAATTTTAAAAAATTGCGATACTTCAAAGGGCGATTTTGGAAAAACGGTTGGATTTCTCGAAGAAATGAGGCCGGAAGTGACTTCTGTGGCCCGAAATGTACAAGAAAATATGTTTAATTATATTACGAAAATCGTCGAAAATGGACCGAAATTTGCATACATAGTGGAAAATTTCATTTTTGAAAAAGATAAGACTGACTTTGGCAAATGGTACACCCTGTAAGAAAAGAAAGGGCGGGTGGGCGGGTTTAGTGCCTGCTAAAATAAGACTGATTTTGGCAAATGATATAAAAATTAAAAGTTCGAAAAACATAATATATATAATATTGAATAATTGAGGAATCGAGAAATGGAAATTTCAAAAAATTCAAAAAGTCGTCTAAAAATTCTCAAAAAATTCAGGCTTATAAACCTTGACATGCTGATTCCAAAAATATAGGGTTTTTAGGGTCACCGAGCAATATTTTTGAAATATTTGAGTGAAATTCGAATTTTTTGAGATTTTTAAAAATTGCAATTTTCAGTGAGCGATTTTGGAAAAACGGTTCGAGTTATCGAAGAAATGAAGCAGGAAGTGACTTCTGCGATCCGAAATCTATGAGAAAATGTGTTTATTTAAATTTTGAAAATCGTCGAAAATGGGCCGAAATTTGCATACATTGTGGAAAATTTTTGAAAAAGATAAGAAAAGACTGATTTTGGCAAATGATATACTCTCTAAGAAAAGAGAGGGCGGGTGGGTGGGGTTAGTGCCTGCTAAGATAAGACTGATTTTGGAAAATGATATACTCTCTAAGAAAAGACAGGACGGGTGGGCGGGGCTAGTATCTAATAACATGAGAAAACTGATAATTTGAAAATTTTTGTGTTGGCAATTCTGAATTATTGGTATCCGTGCTAGTAGTCAGTTTATAGTCAATTTTGACATGAGCAGGTACGAAAAACGCTTAGATTGGATGAGATGATAGCAGCTCTTCTAAATATTATTTTGACAATCAGGAATGCCATCATAAAAGAAAAAAACAAACATTAAAAATCAATATAACGAATAAATCGAAAGATCGAGAAAACAAAACATCAAAAAACTAAAAAATCTAAAATTTGAAAGTTCGAAAAATTGAAAAATAGAAATATTGAAATATCGAAAAGTCGAGAAATGAAAACATCAAAAAATCCAAAAACCTTTCATTTTTGAAAAAGTCGTCTTGAATGTTATAGATCTTGAGAGTGAAATTCGATTTTTCGAAATTTTTAAAAATCGTCGAAAATGGATCGAATGTGAATATATGTACATCAAATAATAAGATTTTTCTGTAGTATTTATCCAGAATATCCAAAATAAGAAAAAATAGCCATTTTTGGAACATCTTAAAAATTCGAGTCTGAAACCGAATATTTAGAAAATCTTGGTCCGGGACTAAAACACACTAATAGTATGCTTTTGCATTTAGCACGTCTAGAATTTTTTGTGAATTTTTGAGCACTTTCAACCTCCACAAATGTTTTTCGGATTCATTTTTCCGACTCGCGAAAATGAAAAATGGTAATTTTTTGGAATATTTTAACAATTTGAATTTGAAATTGAATCTTCCAGAAATCTTGGTCTGGCGCGATATTTTTCCAACAGGCAAGTCGAGTTTTAGAACTTTTTGGAAATTTTTGGGCAACGTTTCCAAAAATTATAATAAATTGATATACATATAGATAAATAATTATTTAATTTAATTAGTATTACAATTAATGAATATTTTGTGAATTGCAAAATGTACTACAAAAAAATACTTTTCACCCTTAAAAATCATTTTCTCTTTCAAAATAAAACAAAACCAACCTGATTTAATGGTCGTTTAGTTGTACCACAATGAATACTAACACCAATTTAATATCCTGTAACATTTAAAGCTACACATAAACTAACACTGGCACCCTCAGAAACGATAATCTACATTAAAACAGTCTCTAGCGTGAGATCAACTTACACCTAAGAGATTAAAAGCATCGATTAAAAAATTACATGACGCAAATGCAAACACTGCACTTTCTTGCTAATCTAATAACATCTACTGGACTTTCGTGTCATTGAATTGAATGATCACGAGTTCATACGTAACAATAGCACCAGCAACCTGAAAATGCAAATTAATTACAGTTTTCTCAACACCAAAAAAAAAATACATTTAGTAGCAGCCCCCGAGTCACTTTGAACATTCTATTTCCAGTGATTCCAACATCGTTGAAACTAATTTGAAGCAAAAGTCGCCGAATCTGGAACTCAAATTTGGAAAATCTGGCCCAAAAAATTTGGCTTACCTCTAGATTGTAAGTAGCCGACGGGACACAATGAAGAATATTCGCCGGTCCTTTACTCTCATCGATAATCCAAGCCCCGTACAAAGAAACCATCACGACCCTCAAAATCAGAAACGAAAACGAATAGGTGTAGTACAAAATTTGGACTTCGTGGTTTAAGTGCCTAAAAACCTGACATTTCCCAATCACGTTTACAACGTCGCTGATTTACCCAATGACGTTCGACAGTTGGATCAACAGGAAAAAAATGTTCGCCGAGTAGGATAGCAGCACGATGTGGGAAAAGTACTTCTCGAGCTTCCTGGATAAGTGGACCAAGCGGTCGTAGTCAGCGCGGATTTCGGTCCAGTAGTTGTTGGAGTTCGACTACAAGAAAAATTTTATTCGGGAATTGTACAAGTTTTCTCACCTTTTTTTCGTCTAGGCACAATCGATTTGTTATTTGTTTGAAACGCAGGGCCAAGGCCGAACTAATCGCGACTATAAACAGGTCATTAAACGACCAAATCAAATGTCCGAGCAGACTGGTGGCCTACAAAACAACAATGTTTATTTTTACCGACGTTGTAAATGTTTTCACCGTCATGAAAAAGGCTGCCAGGCCATTGAAAGGAACCAATGAAAACCACTCCCGGAAGGCGAGTAAATAGTAATTTTTCAAGCTGAGTTTGTCGTGTCTGATGATAAATATGACTTGGTAGAGAAGTAGGAGGAAGAATTCACCTATAAACAACTTTCTACAACTTGTTTTCGTATTTATGACACCTACCAAACGATAAAATCAGCGCTATGATACTTAGTAGTCTGATTCTGAAGTCCAAATTTTTGGGATAGCCATACACCTTGGACATTTTCCTATCCACTTCATCCCAAAGTCGGGAAAATTTCGGCCACTTCTTCGCCAGACGCAAATACAAAATCATGCATGTAAAAGCGTTAATTTGATTGATTTGTCGCACTAAAAACCCAAATAAACCCAAATTTCGTCAAAAATTTGGCTTACCAAGCACCCGAAAGTTGAACCGGACGGAAGTCCAGTTGATCATGCAAATAATCGTGTTAGCAACGAAAATAGCAGTAGCCAGGATGGTATAAATGGTTTTGAAAGACCTCCACTGGAACTTGATTTCGGCCACCGATGATAGCCCATTTAGGGGCAACAAACCCAACCCATTGGCCACTTTAATCAAAAAATTAAAAGAATCGTGGAACGATTTCCCCGGAATTGGTTTATTTTTGTCCTGACTAACATAAATCATGGCTGGGCAACAAGTCAACAACTTTGAATAAAATGGTTAATGGTCGATGGTCGTGGCGTGGTGATAATCACACGGTTTGAGGAAAAGCAAATAATTGAAAACATTAATGTTCGGGGTGGGTTGATAAATCTAACGCATTTATTTTTTACGAGGTATTTTTATGGAATCGATGAAAGAAAAATTCCACTTTGGCTAAGTAGCGTCTATCTAAAAAAAGTATTAAAAAATATTGGTTGAAATAAATGAAAATAATTACCGTCAGGGGTGTCTTTGGTGGTCCGTTATTAAAAAAAAGTTGGTTCGAAAAAGGAAAACCAACATTAGTCTCGAACATACTGTTTGCTTGTACACCCTGCCACGGTTTAGCGGTAAGCAATCTATTACTCTAAATTTTGTTTTAGACTAATATCGGCTTAATTTATCAATGCACTTGTTGCTATTTAAACTGATATAATTAAAAAAAAAACGCTATCTATTAGATGAACTTTTAGTACGTAGGTATAGTAAGATAACGATATTTGTAAGAGCAGTGTGGAATTTAAAAATTTGTAGCTGAAAATTTTTGACTAATTTTGAGTTTGCAGTGGAGGTGAATAAATTAACTAAAAAGTAGGGCTCCCGTTTCAGTTTGTCTGCCTTCTGTCGTCTGTCAGCGATTTTGTTAGAGGAAGGAGGTTGTATACGTGCAGACAATTTTTTTGTAAAGTAATCGTGATAGAAATCAAGGCGGATTAATAAACCACAAGTACAGGATAACTATTTGCCGGACTTATTAAGTACTGTGTCCACAAATTTTCATTTTAAAGGTAAAGGTTCGAGGGTAAAAACTCAACACGGATTCATAAACTACAAGTGGAGGAGTATGTTATCTTATAAAATTTAAATAACATAAATATCATTTACTGTTGTACAGACAGACGGAAACGACAGACCTACGTTTTCCTATTCTAGGAACCACGAAACGTCGGAAAAACATAAAAGTAGCCAGTCACCTGCACTCGATTACAATACTTCCTTAGCTTATGCTTGGGAAGTGAAAAGGTCCAAAAGCACACAAAAAATGAGAATAAAACCATTATAATAAGTTACTGGAAAAGGGAGGCAAAAACTGTAATATAAAAAGTCCACAAAGAAGACTACAAAAACAAAGGACAAAACAATTCAACAAAAAAAGGCGACAACCAAAAGTGAAAGAGAAAGTCAATAAAAATGGAGAAAAATAATGCAAAAAAAGTGGCTACTAAAAAAGTGACAAAAATACAATAAAAAAGGTTTCAAAAAAGATAAAAAAAGTAAATTAAAAAAGAACAAACAGTCTTCAAAAACGGACTAAAATGGGACAACAGAGCACAGAAAATCATATAAAAATGGGAAAAAAATCAAAATAAAAATGTTTTTATATTTTTTCTTTTTCTCAATTTGAAATTTTTCAGTTTTTGGATTTTTCAATTTTTTTTTGTTTTCAATTTTTCGTTTCTTCAATTTTTGATTTGCAGGTTTTCTAATTTTCATTTTAGATATGTAATAATAATTATAATTTTTATTAGAGTTGTTCACTTTTTCAATTTTTCGTTTTTGGAATTTTTTAATTTTTCGATCTTTGAATGCTAGTTTTTGGACTTTACGAACATTTCTCGATTTAATTCGTTCTTTGATTCATTAATTTTTCCTCGATTTCTAGTTTTTCTATGTTTCTATTTTTCGTTTCTTCAGTTCTACAATTTTGTCAAATAAATGTTATATAAATTAAAAAAAAAGCAACAGTGTACCTATGGTCTATGAATCCGTGTTGAATTTTTATCTTCGAACTCGAAATTTTTGTGGAAAAATAAAGCAAAATTGAATTACAATTTTTCGATTTCTTGATTTCTCGATTTTTAGTTTACTTAATTTTTCGATATTTCAGTTTTACAATTTTTGCAATTTAAAAAGAAAACATTTTTACATTTCTCAAATTCTCTATTAATCAATTCTTTGATTTTTCGACTTTTCCTCTTTACAATTTATTGATTTTTCAGTTTTTCGGTTTCTCAAGTTTTCGTTGTTCCAATTTTGGGATTTTTCAATATCTCCAATTTTTTAATTTAAAATTTTTCACTTTTTTGATATATCGATTTCTCGATCTTTCGATTTTTAAAATTTCTGATTTTTCGAATTTTGAATATTTTGATTTATCGTTTTTTTTTTAGTTTAAATATATATTTCAGTTTTAAATTTTCCGGTTTTTCGATTTCGGGCTATTTCGATTTCTCCATTTCTCGGATCTTTTGATGTCTCAATTTTTTAATTTCGACTTCTCGGCCTTTCCATTTTTCAATTTTTTATTTCTTCAAGTTTTTAGATTTTTAAAATTCTCCATATTTCGATTTTATGTTTTGTTATGCTTCGATCTCCCGATTTTAACCTTTTTAACGTGTATTCCAATTTTTCGATTTTGGAATTTTCGATTTCTTACATCTCGATTTTTCGTTTTTTCGATTTTAAAATGTTTTTACTTTTCGTTCTTTTTTCCGGTTCTGGATTTTTCAAGTTTTCAATTTCTCAATTTTTCAACATTTCAATTTTGAGAATGTCTTATTTTTCAGTTTTTTGATATTTTCATTTTTCAACTTTTTAAATTTTGATTTTTCGACTTACCGCAAATCGATTTTTGGGTTTTTCAATTTTTCGACTTTTCAGTTTTGAGATTTTTCAATTTGTCGATTTTTTGGTTTTTCATTTCTTCAGTTTTTCGGTTTTCAAGTTTTCGCATTTTTAAATTTAAAGTTTTTTAATTTTTCGGTTTTATTTTTTTTACGTTCCGAATATACCCGATTTTAATTTTTTTTATGCTTTTCAATTTTTGGTTTTTCTAAATTTTCATTTTTCCATATCCCAATTTCTCGATTTTTCGACTTTTTGATTTTGTGTTTTTTGTAAATGTTAAATTTTTCGTTATTGTAATTTTTCTATTTTTTAAATTTTAGATATTTAGGTAGATTTTTCGACATATTGATTTCTCGATCTTTTTTCAGTTTGAATTCCTCGGTTTTTCGATTTTCCAAGATTACGATTTTTCAATCTTTCGATTTTTGAAAATTTTCGATTTCTTGATTTTTCAGTTTTTGATTTTCCAACTTTTAGATGTTTCAAATTTTAGAGTTTGCAAATTTCACGAGTTTACAGTCTTTAATTTCGTCAATTTTTCCTGTGGGTTTTTAATTTTCTTTATTTTTTCAATTTTCTGCTTTCAATTTTCCGTTTTTTTAATTTTTCATTTGCAGTTTTTCTAGTTTTCATTTTAATTATGTAACACTCCTAATAATTATAATTTTTAAAGTTGTTCACTTTTTCAGTTTTTCGTTTTTGGAATTTTTCAATTTTTCGGTATTTGAATGTCACAGTTTTTGGACTTTACAATTTTCAAGATTCTATAATTTTTCGATTTTACAATTTTTTGATTTTCCAATTTTTCAATTCGAATGGTTTTTCTTCTTTCCTATTCTTCGATTCATTAATTTTTTTTTAGAATTTTAAGTTTCTCGGTTTTTAGTTTTTCGGGTTTTTAACTTTTCGAATAAACAAAATCGAAAAATTATAAAATGGAAAAATTGTAAAACTGAAAAAGTACAAAATGAAAGCTTCGAAATATAAAAAAATTGGAAATCAAGGACTTAAAAAATCAAAGATTGAAAATGGAAAAAATTGAACAAACAAAAAATTATAAAATCCAAAGAAACATTGAAAAAATAAAGATAATGGAAAAATAAAAAATTGTGATATAAAATCAAGAAAATGAAAATTACAAAATCGGGAAAATGAAAATATCGAAAATCTGAAAAATATAGAAATTGAAAAATTCCCGAAATTGCGATGTTTAAAATTGAGATAGCGAAAACTTAAAAATCGAGAAATCGAAAAATTTTTAAAATTGGAAAATTGAGATATGAGAAATCGAAAATTCCAAAAATGGAAAAATTGAAACACATTAAAAAATTAAAATCGGGAAATCGAAACATGAAGATTGTAAAAGGGAAAAATGAAAAATTTAAAAAATCGAAAATTTAAAATATATACTAGAAATCGAAAACTTGAGACTTCAAAAGATCGAGAAATCGAAATAGGCCGAAATCGGAAAATTCAAAATTGAAATATTTACTTAAAAAAAAGATAAACGGAAAAATCGAAAAACTCAAAAAATCGATAAACCTAGAGATATGAGAAACAGAAAATTCCAAAAACGAAAAATTGAAATACAGATTAAAAAGTTTAAAAAATCGAAGTTAAAAAATCGTAAAAACAAATTCCATTCGATTTTCCGTTTTATCGATTTTGCAATTTTTTGTTTCTTCAATTTTTTCCAATTTTTTAATTTTCCGATTTTTCAAT